TCAGCTCATCTGTTACCCATCATTAGGCTATTGCTGGTTCCTGTCCTACAGGGAAACTCTGAGGTAAGAAATAAAATCTGGTTTCTGCCCTAACGGTTTTTAAATCTCAAAATGAGATCTAAAAAACAACTCTGTTGGTTTCTGAATCATGTCCATGAATGTAAATGCTTTTAAGAAACATTTACTAGTAAAGATTTACCAAGACAGTAGCCAAAGGAAGAACAGTGCCGCATGTGACATGAGAGGTGTGTGCAAAACGCTGTGTGACGACTGTCCCTCTTACTGCTGGCTCAGACAGGCTGGGTACTGAACTCAAAGTACAAGCGTATTATTCGTGAGTCCTCCCAATGACACTCTGAGGAATAAGGATCCCCACTGCAGAGTTCAGGTGACTGAGGCTAAGGGAAGTTAATGAACTTTAAAGCGGCACAGCCAGGATTCAAACTAGGATCTTCCCAACTCAAAGAGGGAAGACTCCCACTATTCTGTAGACAGTTTAGTACTATATGAGTGATAACACTTAATTTCAGGGAAGGAAACAAAAATCCATAATCTCAGAAGCTTTAAATAAGACAAAGAACATAAATAACATGATAGAAAGTTACTGCAGAGATACCAAAATAACACAATGCACTGAATTCTAATGAAGGAAAAAATGGCAAAAATGAGTATGGCATTTCTGATGCGACTAGGTAGTTTATTTTTATTTTTTCTTTCCTTCTTTTAAAAAAAAATTTAACAAACTCTGCATGTGGCATTCAATTTACTTCTAAAGTGAAATAGGCCAGACATGGTTCGCGCATGTAATCCCAGTGCGATCCCACTTTGGGAGGCCAGAGAAACCCCATCTCTACAAAAAAGTAAAAACAAGTAGCCTGGCATGGTGGCACACACCTGTAGTCCCAGTTACTCAGGAGGCTGAGGCAAGAGGATCACTTGAGTGTAGGAATTGGAGGCTGCAGTGAGCTACGATCGCACCACTGCACTTGAACTTGGGTGACAGAGCAAGACTCTGTTTCTAAAAATAATAATAATAAAAGTAAAATAATTGGTTTTATGCTCAGCATTCGGTATAACTCATTAAAACATATTTCCTATATCTCTGTGTTCCTCGAAAGGAAAAGTGAAGCCTGTCCAATAGGACTTCTGGGGAGATTACACTTCTGTCAAACAACTTGAAAAGTATCAGGATTATATTTATTACCTGTAGAGAGGAAAAAGTCCCAAAAGCAGTCACGTTTCCAGATTTAGCAAATGAAACAGAAAGAACATCTGTTTGACAATAGTTTGGACAAGAAAAGACTTCAGTTGTAATGTACTAGAGGTTTTATCAAAATCTTTCCGCATCTGGTCTCTGAATTCATTTGGGTACATACAAGAATTATCAAACTGGCTATTGTCACTGGACCTGGTGAAGTCAATCTTTTAATATTTACTACGTAATTAAGGTAAAAATATGAGAACAGGAATGTAAAATCAAATACAGAATAAATTGAAATAAGTTCCATTGTACTATAGAAACAAACCATCCTTTCCTTTTCTCTGGCATGGGCCATGTGACCAGGAAGACAGTATAGAGCACTCCCCACTATTCAAAGCCTCCGAGTTTACGACACAAGTCAGAAAGAATGGCACTTACCATGTGCAAAACGTCTGTCCTCCCTGTGCCAAGTGAAGTCCTAGGATAGTGTTTTTGGAGGGACAAAAGGAGAAAACGGGAAAGCCTTCACAGATCTAAATGATTTATATAACTGTAAAATGGAGTGCTTTTACTCCATTGAATGTTTGAATGCTTTTTTATAAAAATTACAGATAACTTTAAAGGCTCACCACTCCCACCAAGAATGACTACTTTGCAGAATCAGATTCAGGTTTAAAACCGCTTGAAGAAACCCTACTGTCTGGAAGACTGAAACTGCCAAAAGTCAGATTCAGTAGCGTTTATTCATTTGATATTTGCACCATAACAATTTACTGAACACCAACTGTGTGCAGAGTACTATACTAGACCCTGAGTGTATCAAGCAGTGGACGAGACAAACCCTATCTCTATGCAGGGCTTATACCGATGCTCACTGGCATTCAAAAGTGGCTCAACAAAGCAGATGCCAGACGGTGTCCAATATATATCAGGTAGCTTGATTGCATTATTGTAATGCAAAGAAGCCCTACAGGCAACATGTGAAGGTAAGAACAAAACATGCAGAGAAAGAACATTATATAAATCTAAGAATTCTCACATCTTTTTTTAGGCCCAAACACCAGTGCTTCCTATCTTTGAGGCAGAGCTTAAACATCTAATAGTAGGCACCAGAAGCAATGTAATATATCATTCATGAAAATAAAGACTGCTTTGTAGGGGGATGAAGCAGTAGGAGATTGTGTTAAATGAGGTTTGAAAGCAAAACAGTGAAGAAGCATTATAATTGCCTATATCAGATGCCAGTCTCTTCAAAAGGCAAGAGGCAAGGCCTTTATTCAGGATAGCAAAAGCAAACCTGATTTAACTAGGTACAATGTCTAATGTCTCTTACTCTGAACAGGTTTTATTGCCATACTCCAATAAAATGTTCGTGCATTCACTAAAATATATTTTCACTTTCAAAAACCTTCTTTTACAAAAAGGCAAAGCAAAACCAAAGCCCAAGCACCGGGCTGTGATAGAGATGATTTAAGCTTTACATTTCACTTTTAGAGATGATGTAACCACAGCACGCACATTCACAGTGGCTGAGCCCATTTTGATACAGTCTAGTCTAACCACCTTTGCTGGCCCTCTTTCTGCTATCTTGCAGGTTTACATGGTTTCAGTGACTCCATGTCACTTCTACCATTTCTTTTCTAACTATTATTTGCTAAATAATCCTAAACCAGGTCTACTTTTTCTAGATAGGGCATAAAAGTAAAAACACAACGGATGGGCATTCACTGCGTTGTGCCAGGGCCCGCATTTGGTGAAAGCCACTAAGGACACCAAGATAAACCAAGTCCATCCCTCCTGGAGTTTGCTTGCAAATCTAGCAGGGAAGACAGTAAACAAGCAACTGCAGAGGATATGACACATCTCTCTTAGGGAATGCTGGCTGCAGAAAGAACACAGTATAGGAAGATCGAACCTTGAACTGTTTTAATGAAAACAGAAGTTTAAGTAGCAGCTCTGACTTCTAATCAAATGTGATGGCGGGAGAAAGGGAATGCAGACGTGTGGCAGACACTAGCTATGAAGGTCAGCATTGCTGTGCAGAAAGTGAATCGGTGCTAAAGATAGGGAGGGGTGGGGGCACTCAGGACCCAACACGTGCTGGGGTTTCTCATCCGTATTAAGTGCTGGGTTTAACCTAAGGGCAAAGGACGCGCTTTCTAGACTTCCATTTCAAAAAGATCCCTCTGTGCTGTGCAAAGTGGACTACAAAAGAGCAGGCGGGTCTGGAGGTGGAGAGACCAGGGAAGAGGCTGCTGTGGAGATGGAGAGACGTGGACAGATCTGGCAGACGTTTACAAGGTCGACAAGGCTTGGTGACTAAGCGGGAAAAGAAGTAGGTGGGCGAGAGGGGGCCGAGAAGGATGTTTTCCGGTTTCCTGCTTGGGTGCCACTTACTGAGAATGGGGGAAAGACGCAGGTGCAGGGCACACCCACTGAAAACAACAGCGCCGAGCGTGAGCAGGGCTCGCTCACTCCTCACGGCCTGGGATTTCAAGGCGACGCCAATCAGCTGTGGCCACGGAGACACAGCCACAGGGATGAGCTGTGAGCACTCACGAAACTCTGCAGGGCCGAAAAGGAATTGGACTTTAAACCCTGCGACTAGCTCTCTGGAAGAGCTAAACCACACAGTCAACCCGGGATAGTCCAGGCCCCAGGCATGGAAGGCAGCAGACACCGAAGCCTCGCCCAAAGTTGGAAGGATCAGCCCCGAGGGCGAGTCCCTCACAGTCAGCACCCGGCCGCCCCAGCCCTCGCCGCACCGCTTCCCGCGGCCACTCCTCCGCCGGCGGTGGCACCGTCTGCTTTCCAGCTTGCCGCTGCCTCCCGCTGCCTGGCCCCGCCTCCCGGCCCCAGGCCCGGCCGCCGGGTCTCCGGCCCTCGGAGCTCGGTGCCCCGTGCTCGACCTCCCGGCCCCGGCCTCGGTTCCCCCGGGCCGGCCTCCCGCTGCCTGGCCTCCCCGGCCCCAGGCCAGCCTCCCGCCCCCGGGTCAGGTCTCCCCTCCGATGCCCTGAGGCCTTTCCTTAGGTTACCCCCAGGTCCCTCTCCCTAAATCAAAAGCCTTAACCCGCTGCCTGGCTGCCCCGGCCCCGGTCCAGACTCCCGCCCCCGGGCCAGGTCTCTCGCTCCGCGGGCTTCACTGCTCGCCGCCGCCCCGGGTGAGGTGGCAAAACAAAGGCTCCGCCGCCCAGGTCCCCGGGCAGGCGCTGGGCCTGGGAGGACGCAGGCAGCGGGGACAGGGCTGACCGCCCGGAGCGAGCGCGGCACTCACCGCACAGCCTCCTCACACCTTTCACAACCGCCTGACAGCAGCAGCCACCCGCTACGATCCGCGTCTGCACCGCTTCAGCGGCCCGCCGCCGGGAGATGTGCTCCAGCGCTAGCCCCGCCCCCGGCCCGCCCCGGTCGGCCCCGCGCGCCCCCTCCCTGGGGCCCGTCCCCCAGCTCCCGCCCGCCGGAGAACCAGGCCCGGGCTGGGCCCCGGGAGCCGCCCGCCCGCTGCAGCCCGCGCCCGCCCCCGCGCCCGTCCTCGCGCTTGGGTCCCGCCCCGAAGCCCCGCCCCCGAGGCCCGCCCCCGAGGCCCGGCCCCGCTCCCCCGCCCCGGATTTGAAAGCTGGGTCTTCCTGAGAGTCCGCGGGCTTCCGCTCCCAGCGCGGGATTCTGGAGGTAATTTGAGGAAGACTTGGAAACCGCGCCAGGCCCAACGGGGACCTAGAAGGGAGACAAGGCCAGGCCTGCTGCCCAGTGTGAGCTCTGAGAAGAAGAGGAGCGGGCCGGGACGCCCTCCGGTAATTTCCGTCCCCCCTCCGGTGACCTGAGGCCTTTCTTGGGGTTAACCCCAGGTCCCTCTCCCTAAATCAAAAGCCTTAGCCTCCTGTCGCCAGGGTGCCGGGCTAGTAATAAGCAGGTCCACGCATGCTGGACACACAGGCCCAAGCCACTCCGCGCATCAGTCAGTACTGCAAACCGTACACAGTAGTGTACTTAATCCATATATAAACGTTACAAGTTAAGTATCCCACAGCAAACAAAGTAGCATTTAACATCACGAGGAAAAAAAGAGATAGGACAAAGAGATGAACAACCAATCCAGAGGGAGTGAAGAAGAGAAAAAGAAGCCCAAGAGGTTCTTCTGCAAAGACAGCGTCAATTAAGACTGTTTGGAGCTGCCGAAGGCAGAGTCCTGGGTGAGAACTGACAGTGGAAGAGGGCGCTTGTTTGTGTCCTTACCTGAGTGGATGCGGACTAGTTTTTTATTTGTTTATTAAAGTATAGTATCCTTGTTGGCAAATGCCCTATGAAATATAAAATGGGGTCTTTTCCTAAGATGGAGTTATTAATAGTTACGTGAAGGGTGTGCTATACACTGCCCTACTGATCCCCTTCCTATTTTGGGTCATGAACTCATTTTAGACCCTGAAGCAAACTGTGAATCGTTTTCGCAGAAGAATTCTCCAACACGTGAGCACGACATTCTGCATCAGATTTAAAAGGTTCTTGACATTCAGAAGTCAGATCAGGGACCCCATGGCAGAGCCTATTTCTAACGCTTGCGCCTATTCGACTATAGAGACTATATTCTGCACAGAAATATACTTAGTTTTATGTATCGTTACCACTTGCTGAGAGTTTATTGCATGCTTTTACATTTTCATAATACATTTGTTTGTTTCATCCTTTCAACAATCCCTCGGGGTAGGAATTACAATTTAAAGAGGTTAAGGCCAGGCGCGGTGGCTCATGCCTGTAATCCCAGGACTTTGGGAAGCCGAGGCAGGTGGATCAGGAGGTCAGGAGTTTGAGACCAGCCTGGCCAAGGTGGTAAAACCCCGTCTCTACTAAAAATACAAAAAATAAAAATAAAATAAAAATAAAAAAATTAGCCGGGTGCAGTGGTGGGCGCCTGTAATCCCAGTTACTTGGGAGGCTGAGGCAGGAGAATTGCTTGAACCCGGGAGGCAGAGGTTGCAGTGAGTCAAGATTGTGCCACTGCACTCTAGCCTGGGTGACGGAGCAACACTCCATCTCAAAAAAAAAGTGTTAAGTAGTTTGCTCTTGCTGAAAAAAGAGTCACAGGAGTTAAACTCAGATCCCACAAATACGACTTAGGCCTTTCTTTATCCCTCCCGAATTGAGTGAACACAATGTTTGACAGTCTTTTTCTGCCTCAGTAAAACCGAGAAATAGGACCCACTCCCGACCCTAACAGTGGCTCTGCAGAGCAGTAATTTGCGAAGAGGGGACTAGTGTGGTTGAACTAGTCCTTATCCCATTGTGATACCCAAACCCCTTCCTGTGCTAAACTTTCTTGTCAAAATGAGCAAGCATCAGCAGCAGTTTTCTGGATTCCTGTAAATCATACTAATTTACTTAGTCTACGAACTTTTATTTTTGAGACAGAGTTTCACCCTTGTTGCCCAGGCTGGAGTGCAGTGGTGCAGTCTTGGCTCACGACAACCTTTGCCTCCCAGGTTCACATGATTTTCCTGCCTCAGCCTCCCAAGTAGCTGGGGATTACAGGTGCCTACCACTAGGCCCAGCTAATTTTTGTATTTTTAGTAGAGATGGGGTTTCACCATGTTGGCCAGGGTGGTCTTGAACTCCTGACCTCAGGTGATCCACCCACCTCGGCCTCCCAAAGTGCTGGGATTACAGGCGTGAGCCACCGTGCCCAGTCAAACATTTTAATTGTAGCAAAACAGTAGGCTGGAGGCAGTGGCTTCTGACTGAAGCCAGTAATTTTCTCTTTACAGGGGTATCCCAGAGGTGACAGAACTTGATCTGGGCCTGGAAGGGGAAGAATTCGGGAAGGGCAACGTGGGGCATTCCAGGTAAGAGAAATGTGTGCCGGGTTGGGGGAGGTTTCTGGAGTGGCTCAGGACAAAGGAGAGGTCATTATCAATTCATTTGGTGAGATGGTGGAAGAGTAAGAAATGAAATAGGTAAATGATTTAGGGCCAGATTCTGGAGGGGAGTTTAGACTTCATGACATTGGTTTACCTGTGTGAGCTGAATGTTGCTATGAATCATTATCCCTGTGAAAAGTGATGAAAATGGTTTTAAGGGTGATTGGTCTGCCTGGCAGAGTTACGCTGTTTGGATGGGAGATCCTGTGGGGAGGATAGAAAGGAGGAACTGGGAAAAAAATAAAAGCACAACATATCACTGTGTGTTTTCTTACTCCTTACAAGAGGATTTGGGGAAATTTAAATATGAGTTACTTTTGCTGAAGCGTAGAAAGGCAAAGTGACTGAAGCAGGAGAAAAAAAGAAAATCCAGTCACTTATACTTAATTTCTTAAGGTGTTATTCATCCAGAAAGTGAACTTATATAATAATATTTTTGTAAATGCTTTTTGATCACATACTTTATAATAAATACTTTAACAGTGGGAGAAATAGTACAAATGCATTCCAAGAGGCTAGAAAAGGGATTATATTAAGAAAATACTGTCAAATACCAGGATATTACCAAATCGTAGAACTAGAGTATTGGCAGACAACACAAAATACTGATGAATCTAATCTCAGGGTAGAGGGAGAAGTTGGAGTTGGGAAATAGGAATTGAGCAGTGATGAGAGAAAAAGAAAAGAAAAGAAAAAAGGGAGGGAGAAAGGAAAGAAGGAAGGGAGGGAGGAAAGGAGGGAGGGAGGGAGGGAAGGAGGGAGGAATAAAGATAAAGGAAAGTGAGAGAACTAGGCTAGGAAGAACCATGACGAGGCTGGCTTCAGGTCCCCCCAGAAACCAGTAAATATGAAGCATGTGCCCCCTCCTTCAGCTGCTCCTGGGATCCATGCCATCAAGTGTCACAGCTGGGCAAGTCTGGGCATAAACACGGGAAAGCTGGGGCTATTTAGGTCAGCGTTATCTCACCCCTTCCATCCCCGCTGCCTCTTCTCCCACTGTGGTTACTCGAAAAGGACTAACATAGCCTTTTTTCTAGCTTAACCACCTTCGGTTGAAAGATCGGTATTAACCATGCTTAAATAATCAAACATGGTTAAACAAACATTCTATGCAATGTAAGAAGTAAATAATAGAAACTCTCTGAGCCCAATCTTTAATTTTATTTTATTATTTTTTTTTTAGTAGAGATGGGGTTTCACCATGTTGGCCAGGCTGGTCTCGAACTCCTGACCTTGTGATCCGCCCGCCTGGGCCTCCCAAAGTGCTGGGATTACAGGCATGAGCCACTGCACCCGCCCTGGCAGAGTCCAATCTTTTAAAATACAATAAATGTTTTCCTTTGGAACTTGGAAACTATTACCAAAAACCGTTACAGTCCTGGAGTGGAAAGGAGCTTTGATACCCAATTATGTAAAAGAAAGACAACACTCTTTGACCACCGGGAATTAAAAGCATTTCTAATATGGTGACATATTCCCCCAGAGGGGAGGGATGAGGAATGTGATAGTCCCAAACCAGAATGCCAGATGTCTTCCTGTTCTCCATTTCCTTGGCTTTTTGTAATTCAACCCTCCTGCTGGGCTAGACCGAGCCCCAATTGTCTTCTGATCTCACCCCAGCTGTTAAAATTTTCAGACTGTGCAGACATGAAGGGGGCATGGTATGTACTGAACTTCTCTTTCTTCTTCTGTTGACGCTCATCGTTTCCCCAGTTCAGTGAGTCTTAAGCTGTTTTTTCATTGTGACTTCATGATGTTCATGTATGGCATACTCCCATGGTCCTAAGGGAGGAGACCACCCCTCATATTGCCTTATGCCCAATTTCTGCCTCCTAAGAAAGAAGAAGTAAAAACTAAAAGGCAGAAATGAAATCCACAGGCAGACAGCCCGGCGCCATGCCCTGGGCCTGGTAGTTAAAGACCGACCCCTGACCTAATTGGTTCTGTTTTCTATAGATTACAGACATTGCATAGAAAAGCACTGTGAAAATCCCTATCTTGTTTTGTTCCGATCTAATTACTGGTGCATGCAGCCCCCAGTCACGTACCCCCTGCTTGCTCAGTCATGACCCTCTCACACGCACCCCCTTAGAGTTGTGAGCCTTTAAAAGGGACAGGAATTGCTCACCTGGGGAGCTCGGCTCTTAAGACAGGAGTCTTGCCAATGTCCCCGGCCGAATAAACCCCTTCCTTCTTTAACTCGGTGTCTGAGGAGTTTTGTCTGCCGCTCATCCTGCTACAGTCCCACCAAGATTTTTACAAAATCAAACAATTTTTCATGATAAAATTTCAGTGTCACTAAGTACGAACATCCACATAGTCATTTGTAGTCAGTTATCGGTTAGATACTAGCTAAATTCAGATGTGATTACATTCTGTATTTATTTTCTTCACTAATAATCAGTGGACTTTGTTAAAAGTTAAATTTCATAATAGAAAGTCAGTTTCTCAATTAGGTTTATCTAAGCGTAGCAGATTTTTAGCTGTATGTGAAGCAGATCAAAGTAACTCAATACTCAGAATCTAGCAATAAGGAGCAATATCACTTTGTATTGACAAGTTAAAGTGGTTTTTGTTTTGTTTTGTTTTTTTTGAGACAGAGTCTCGCTCTGTCACCCAGGCTGGAGTGCAGTGGCACTATCTCAGCTCACTGCAAGCTCCGCCTCCCGGGTTCACGCCATTCCCCTGCCTCAGCTTCCTGAGTAGCTGGGACTACAGGCATCCGCCACCATGCCTGGCTAATTTTTTTTGTATTTTTATTAGAGACAGGGTTTTACGTGTTAGCCAGGATGGTCTCGATCTCTTGACCTTGTGATCTGCCTGTCTTGGCCTCCCAAAGTGCTGGGATTACAGGCGTGAGCCACCGCGCCCGGCCAAAGCAGTTTTTTAAAAAATTGCTTCATCTCCTCAATCCAGTTGAATTGATATTTTTCCTAAGCATACCTGTTATGAAATTTATGTTAGTACCTTTAGAATTATATTTCTGTTTCCTAGTTTATAATTTTTATGTGAATTAGGTAGAACTCTGAGAGAATAATCTTTCTTAGGTCTGTTATGATTGATGTCAGATTTGAAATCTGTGGATAATATGCGTTTTTTTTTTTTTTTTTCTAACAAGGTCATGATGTCCTACCCCCGCCCTTTTTTTTTTCTTTTCTTTTCTTTTGAGATGGAGTCTTGCTCTGTTGCCCAGGCTAGAGTACAGTGTCATAATTTCAGCTCACTGCAATCTCTGCCTCCTGGGTTCAAGCAATTTTCCTGTTTCAGCCTCCCAAGTATTTGGGACTACAGGAGCCCGCCACCACGCCTGGCTAATTTTTGTATTTTTAGTAGAGACGAGGTTTCACCATATTGGTCAGGCTGGTCTCAAACTCCTGACCTCAGGTAATCCGCCCGCCTCTGCCTCCCAAAGTGCTGGGATTACAGGCATGAACCACCGTGCCCGGCCTACCCTCTCTTAATCTTTTTTTTTTGAGATGGATTCTTGCCCTATCACCCAGGCTGGAGTGCAGTGGTGCGATCTCGGCTCACTGGCACCTCCGCTCCCAGTTCAAACTATTATCTTGCCTCAGCCTCCCAAGTAGCTGGAATTACAGGTGCCTACCACCACGCCCAGCTGATTTTTGTATTTTTAGTAGAGATAGAGTTTCACCATCTTGGCGAGGCTGGTCTCGAACTCCTGACCTGATGATCCACCCGGCTCAGCCTCCAAAGTGCTGGGATTACAGGCGTGAGCCACCGCGCCTGGCCCCCTCTCTTAATCTTTTAGGGAGATTCTGGTTTTCCTTCCAGGAAATACTCGTTTGCCAATGAGTTTGTGTTGCTGCAAAGTTTTCTGCTAAAATTCAAGACGATGTTTATCAACTCAATAAGCACAAACGTATTCTGTTAAATGATTTAGTACATATTATTTCACTTAAGCCCTAATATATCTATTTTCCACATAGGTAAATTATGGCAAAGATGATATTAATGAACAGAGGAACTCTGTTAATTACCTGTTTCTATGTCAAAGCCAGCCCCAAACTTACTGGCTTAAAAAAGACGAAACAACCAAATTTATTTTTTCTTATAGCTCTGTGGGTTGGCTGGGCAGTTTGGTAGGTCTCTGTGGGACTCAGGCTTACTAATGCATTGAATTCAGATGATGGCTGGATGTCTGGAAGGGCCCAACTCATGTATCTGACTGCTTATGCTGGCTGTTGGCTGCAATTCCTTGGTTCTTTTCCATGTGGACTTTCATCCTCTATGAGGCTAGAGTTATGGCATGGCAATCTCAGGGCAGGACTTTAGGATAACCAAGTCTGCTGCAAAGGCACTCGTTAAACCTCTGCTTGCTTCCCTTTTGTCAATGTGATGTTGGCCCAAAACAAGTCATATGGCCAAGCCGAGGGTCACTATGAGAGTGAGTTTAGGTGCAAGGAGTTTGTGGCAAGGAGTTTGTGGCTGATTTGGCTGTTTTTAATCTAGAGTGAAAGTTTTCCCATCTTCTTCTAAAGACCTATTCTTTTTCTTTTGTAAATGAATTATAATCCCAAATTGGAAAATTATTGCCTGGCACCCTTACTCTGGTATGGTTGACATGGAAGTATTATATAGAAAGAAAAATCATCCATTACTATAGACATCCAAAACTAGCCAATATTGTAATTCCCATTCATATTCCCAACTAAAAGTTGTGTTGAGAGAGAAGAGGAGACATGGACAGAAACAGAGGAAAAGGGAATGAAGAGCTGTACGTTGGTATCTGGAAATGAATTCTACCCCGAGAAATAATAGCACAAGAATGGTGGATAAGGTCATAGCATGTGACACAATAAAATGGGTATAGTAAAAACCATAATGATACAAAAAACACATATATTTACATGAGGCTTTGTAATTTAGAGATCATTTGCTTATGTCTTATGACCTTTCTATCTTCAAGGTAAGTATATAAAGTACTCAAGATAATATTGATTCCTATTTTTCAGTTGATTAAATAAGATTCAGGGAGCTTCATTAACCTGTCCAAGGTCATAATACCGTTAGAGGAAGAACCAGGATCTAAGAATTTCTGATAACCATCCTTGCTCTCGTTCTGTGGTAAAACTTCATGCGAAGAATAAACAAGGAAATAAGTGTCAGGAAGTGAGTTTTGAAACTTTATCAAACAAAATATATTCTAAATAAAGAAATTAATGGCCTTTTTGTTTGTTGTTTGTTTTAGTAGTAATTGATAGAAATATTACATGGGATAGGATTTATTCTCTCCGTACTTCTGAACCAATGAACAGAAAATGGGAAGAAAAACTGAAGCAAATTGAAGAACGAGCATCTCATTATGAGAGGAAACCATTGTCCTCAGTGTATAGACCAAGACTGTCCAAGCCAGAGGAGCCACCCTCCATTTGGAGACTATTTCATCGACAAGCTCAAGCTTTTAATTTTGTTAAAAGCTGTAAAGAAGTAATTTCCTCCTCCTCCTCTTCTTTGTCCTCCTCTTCCACTTCCTCCTCTTTTTTCTTCTTCTTCTTCATTATAATTTTTTTTTTTTAAATCTATTATTTGTCTTCATTTCAGGCCATGTATTCTACCAAGAGAATTTAATGGGAATCTTAATGGCATGTGATTTAGGAAAAATATCCCTGTGAATCATTTACCATTTAATTTATATTAGTAATGAAAAAGAATGACACGTCCAGTGCCCATTAGATTTTAAAAATTGTAATGACATTTAAATGAAGCTTTATGCTTAGAGGGCGGGGAACCATGTTTTTTTCAACACATTAAGCAAGTGGGAGAAAGGAGTGTCAGCCTTTCAAAGAACATGGTGCTCAAAAACAAAAATCACTAAATCAAGCAACAGATGTGTATTTCACATTCTTTTTTTCTTGGGCACTGTGGGGAATATAAAGAAATGTGAAAGAAAAGATAAGATGCATATATGATAGCAGAAATGTACTGTGAGTCTGATCACTGTTACTGTCTAAATGCTCCAAGTGCTGGAAGTTTTAGAAGGACCTCTTTTCTCTAGTCAGGATATGCTTACTCAAATCTCATAAGAATGGTTTAAGAAATACCTTTCTTAGTCATTTTGGGTAAACCTAATTCAAGCAGCAGCAATTAAAATACTGACAGATTCATCTGAACTTGAATTTTAAAAAGATATAGATAGGGGTATGCTTGTTGGACTTGCTAATCACCAGTCTATAAAATTTATTTCAAAAAGATTTTTGTTAGGGTTAAGTAACTGAGTCCTGTGATTTTTTCACTCATGAAAAGAAAAACGTGCTCACCAGCTACCTTTAGCTAAGAGGAAACAAAAGAACTTGTGGATGGATTGCTCTATTAGAAGAAACTTTATGGCAGGAGGCATGGACAATTATATTTAAACCACTATCACAGTAATTAACCTTTAAAAAAATGGTTTCGGCTGGGTGTGATGGCTCACGCCCATAATCCTAGCACTTTAGGAGGCTAAGGCAGGCAGAGCACTTTGAGGTCAGGAGTTCGAGGCCAGCCTGGCCAGCATGGTGAAACCTTGTCTCTACTAAAAATACAAAAAATTAATCAGGCCTAGTGGTGGGCGCCTGTAATCCCAGCTCCTTGGGAGGCTGAGGCAGAAGAATTGCTTGAACCTGGGAGGCAGAGGTTGCAGTGAGTCAAGATTGTGCCACTGCACTCCAGCCTGGGCGACAGAGTAAGACTCTTGTTTCAAAAAAACAACAAAAAAAAGTCTCCTACATACATTTTTATATGTACTAGGGAATTTACTAATTAATTTTAGCCCAAATCATTAAAAGATAAGTTTAATTTCATAAAACTATCATAGGAAATCAAATGAGTAATATTTTTAAGAGTGGTTTCTCTCCTTTTTTCTCTTTGGTCTGCATATTCTAATTGTTTTCACCTTTTATATGAATGATTAAAAAATAGGTATAATTAGATTTTGAATGGCATAAACCTAGTGACTATTTGTCTTGTATTTAATAATACAAGTGTTCAAATTACAGTTTCTGAAAACTTGAATGAAAAATTCTTTATGAACATTCAATAGCTACAGTTGAATTTAGGTTTGCATTTTGTGAATTTTTCTAATCTTTTTTGATTTTGTTTAGGACGTTCACGTATTTGCTTTGGAATACAAAGTAGGAGATGGACAACGTATTTACCTTGTGACAACCTATGCTGAATTTTGGTTTTACTATAAATCCAGGTAGGTAGCATGCAGCAGAACCACACATTAAGCTAGAGTTCCATTTCCTTTGCCTAGGAATTTTGGTGAAATTAGTTCAGGCTGAATTGGCCTCCACAGTTTGTGACCACACTATTAGTTGCTCCTTTACTCTCAGAATTGAAATCTGGAGTTTTCTGTCCAATACAGATGGCCTTGTTAGTAATTCCGTTCAAAGGCGGCAGGTGCTGGGGAGAAATATATCATGGACGTACAATATGTCCGCCATGCACGTACAGCGGCATATATGTTGCCGTACTCAGAACGGGTAGCGTTTCTGAAATGCTCTCGTTTTTGCAATAGTTATTAAATTATACTAATTAGCGGGCGGTGGGCTAAGCCTGTAAAAAATCCACAGCCACTTTTGGGAGGCCGAGGGGGCATGACGGGCCCCCGGGGATCACAAGTCAGGAGATCGAAGAGATCCCCAACGTGAAACCCCGTTCTCTAACTATAAAAAAATATAAAAAATTAGCCGGGCGCTGGTGGTTGGGCGTCCTGTGGTCCCAGCTAACCTGCGGGGAGGCTGAGGCGAGAAGGCGGTGAAACCCCCGGGAAGGGCCGGAGCTTGCAGTGAGCCAGAGATCCCGCGCCAGCACTCCCAGCCTGGGCGACAGAAGCAAGGAGAAACTATGGTCCTCTTCAAAAAAAAAAAAAAAAAAAAAAAAAAAAAAAAAAATTATACTTTAATATCCCCAAGGAATATTTTATGTTTTTTAAACCACCCACCTAGTAAATAAAGAAAATATCTTGCTTTTATCCTTGACTTTTCTTATCAACTATTAAATTTGTTTATGCTTTATTTTTTATTTTTTTAGACAGAAATTTCCATGCTTTTGCCCCAGAATGCAGTGCGTGGCCAGATTTTGGCTTCACTGCCAGCCTCTGGCCTCCCGAGTTTGCTGGGATTATAGGCGTCTGCCCACCATGTCCCGGCTCATTTTTTATGTTTTTTAGAGGATAGGGTTTCCCAACCAATGTCGAGCCAGCGGCCTGGTCCCTCTAAACTCCTGCCTCAAGGTAACTCCACATCCACCCACCTAAGGCCCCTCCCCAAAGTGTTTGGGATTACATGTGTGGGAGGCCCCTGCTGCACCTGGGCCTTAATTAGCTTTTTTATTTGTAAACTGAGGTGATCTATTCAAATGGTATTTTCTCTTTCCTTTTTTTCTTTCTTTTTTTTTTATTATTTTAAATATTTTTTGGGAGCATGGGAAGTTTCACTCCTTTTTTGGGGTTTGCCGGCTGGAGTGCAATTGCAGTGATCCCCTCGGCTCACGGCAACATCTGCCTCCCTGAGTTCCGAGTGCGTTCCCTCCGCTGTCTCAGCCCTCATCCAAGTAGGCTGGGGAATTACAGGTGCCTGCCCAACCATGCCTGGGCTAAATTTTGGTGTTTGTTAGTAGAGACGGGGTTTCTTTTTATATTGGGTCCAGGCCCTGTCCTCGAACCTCCCTGGACCTCAAGATATCCTGCCCGTGTTCAGCCCTCCCCAAATGCTTGGATTAAGGTTGTGAGCCAACCCGTGCCCTAGCCCGTATTCAAGTATTTCGTCAGACTTGATGTGTAATGATGTAAAAGGAGAGTAAATTGTTATGTATGCCCTATATTGATTTAGAATACTTTTATTCGAAAGTTGCTAAGTAGCTTCAAATATGAAACTGGATTTATTTATGTTTATATACATGCAACACCAGTTAGAGTTGAATGAAAATCATTAAGATAACGTGACAGATGTTTTGCTGAAACTGTCTCATCTTGCGATGTAAACATGGTACTGACTGCTCCAGGATGTGTATGGATGTATGTGTATGTGTGTGTTGAGTTCCTCCACTACCTGTGCCACCTGATGATACAATTTTCACATAACTTTTCCCTCTTCAAATTACTACAAGTCCTTAATTTGTATAGGATGCCATCTGAACTTTAGTCCAAATTATCATTTGCAAAGTAAGTCAGCATCTCTCCCTATTTAACCCATGTCAAAATCATTCCTCTTAATGCCAGAAAGAATGTAACTGCAAACATGAGCATTGAGAGCTTATCAAAGTCAGGTGATTCAGAATTTTTTAACCAATTTTAAAAATATTATCTTCCAATGAAAATACAGAATTTAAAAATTCTCATGGAAAATTAATGGAATCTGAAGAATATGGCATCCTGAAAAGAACATTTTTTTTTCAAAGAAAATTTGTTTCATGGTGACACTAAAAACAAATATAGAGGTATTACACAATATCAAACTTATCTGTAAATAAATAGCACTGTAAGATTGACTGTATTTTCCAGTTAAATAATGTTACAGGATGTAATTGTTGCATTTTGCTTGATGGAAACCCTTGATACGATGAGCCATAAACCTATGGTGAACAGTTCACTTTATCATGTTCTTATTTCATACTTGTATGTAGTGAAAGCACAGTTAACACAGTACTTGCGATGTAAGATAAACTGCCACGATTTAAAAGGGATAAGATAGAGGCTGGGCATAGTGGCTCACACCTGTAATCCCAGCACTTTGGGAGGCTGAAGCAGGTGGATCAGCTGAAGCCAGGAGTTCAAGATCAGTCTGGCCAACATGGCGTAAACCCTGTTTCTACTAAAAATGCAAAAATTAATCAAGTGTGGTGGCACGTGCCTGTAGTCCCAGCTACTCGGGAGGCTGAGGTAGGAGAATCGCTTGAACCCAGGAGGAGGAGGTTGCAGTGAGCTGAGATAACACCACTATACTCCAGCCTGGGCAACAGAGCTGACTCAGTCTCAGTCAATCAATCAACAAAGGTATAAGATATCAATTTAACAATCTTGAATTATTCAATTTAGAAAAAATCTCTTACACTGCTATGAAGTTATTCCTGAAAATGCTGTGTGCAAGCTTTATTTTGATTTGGAATTTAACAAACCTGCCAACCCAGGAGCTGATGGGAAAAAGATGGTTGCATTACTCATCGAGGTAAATGGCCGACTCAAGTTTTCCTTATTTCTATCTATTCAGCTCTTCATTGGCTTATTCATTCAGTGAATTCAACCTACATAATATGTAAGTTCTGTATCTCTTCTTTTTCTTGCTACTGTTCCTTTTGACTTTGATTTTTTAATATTACTTCTATGAGTAAACTGTGAAAAGGAAGGAAAGTTCAATTTATGTTCATATAGTTTGCGATTTTACTGTCTGGTAAAAAAAATGCTTTGAAAAAGATGTCAGTTTGGAAGTTTTCTATGTATTAAAATTATATATTAATTCTCTGAATTCCATTACAAATAGCTGACTTTGGTAAAAGCCAGGCAAAATAATTTTTACTGTAAAAATTGGGTACTGAGATGAACCTCAAGAACACTGACTACAAACAGTATCAGATTTTTGGAGCTTGCAGGAATTTTGGAAATCATCTTATCTTGTCCCTTTCGAAATGAGGAAATTAAGGCCCAGACTAAACGAATTCCTATTCAAGGCCCTACAACCAGTATTGGTAAAACCTTGTCTATAAATATAGTTATCACTGTTTTTAACTAAGAGAAAAATATTGTAGCTCTTTATTTTTGATTTAGCTGTGTCAACCAGGAAGTTACTAATAAAAGGAATAGCATGGACTTGTGCAGCTAAGTTCTATTAGGATTCTTTCAAAAAAATTTTCAGATTGTATCACAGGAAGTTGTGTTAAAATTGTGCTGACTATTCTTCAGCCTAAGTGTAGGTACTGACAGTTACTGATTAGCTGTTTTTCTTTTAAATGTTAACTGAATAATAATGTTATAGATTACCCATTTTATAACTTTTAAAATATATCCAAATTAAAATGTTTTTGATAAAGAATATCTGCTAGTATTCTCTGTTGGGCCTCTACATGCTTGATTTTAAATCTTTTTGAAAATGTATGTGAATGCTATTTAAAAAATATACAGAATATTAGCTTTATCCTGGCTTTGAAGCAGAATAAATATATATAAATTCCCCCGCCTCCCCCAAAAAAACCCCCAAATTATGTTTTTCTTAAAATAGCCGTTGAACCCTTAAAAATAAATTTAGATGCTTATTTCATTACAGCTGGTAAATTCTGTTTAATTTTTAACCTAATTATTATTATCATTATTATTATTATTTTTGAGACAGAGTCTCTCTCTGTCACCCAGGCTGGGGTGCAGTGGTATAATCTCAGCTCACTGCAATCTCTGCCTCCCAGGTTCAAGCAATTCTGCCTCAGCCTCCCGAGTAGCTGGAATTACAGGTGTGTGCCACCATACCTGGCTAAGTTTTGTATTTTTAGTAGAGACAGGGTTTTGCCATGTTGGCCAGGCTGGTCTTGAACTCTTGGCCTCAAGTGATATACCCATCTCGTCCTCCCAAAGTGCTGGGATTATAGGTGTGAGCCATGGTGCCTGGCCTAATTATGTTTTTAATAATTCATAAATATTGACTTTCTTCTAAAGTCTAAAGTAAGATTTCTTGTGTAGTTTCTCCGTGGGCTACAAGGAACTTCGATTCAGAGATTTTCACTGCCACTTAACATTACATATTAACAAAGAAGTACCACATTGCATTAGAAACTAGAAATATTTCTAATGAACACTGGAGGAAATTTCATTTGTAACACTATTAATAAACACTGGTATGGCAAAGACTATGTAGATGTTTAGAATTTTTTTCTCCTTATTCTTTATACCACTTTTTCCAAATGAGTCTTGAGTAGCTAATCTTTTGCATCAGCAAAACTGTTGGAAGAAACTGTATAAATCTAAGTTCAAAATTATACAGCAGTTTTATTTAACATGTTTACCTTTTTTTTTTTTTTTTTTTTTGAGACGGAGTCTCGCTCTGTCGCCCAGGCTGGAGTGCAGTGGCCGGATTTCAGCTCACTGCAAGCTCCGCCTCCCGGGTTCACGCCATTCTCCTGCCTCAGCCTCCCGAGTAGCTGGGACTACAGGCGCCCGCCACCTCGCCCGGCTAGTTTTTTGTATTTTTTAGTAGAGACGGGGTTTCACCGGGTTAGCCAGGATGGTCTCGATCTCCTGACCTTGTGATCCGCCCGTCTCGGCCTCCCAAAGTGCTGGGATTACAGGCTTGAGCCACCGTGCCCGGCTACCATGTTGACAGAACTGTTCTCATTAGATTACTTAATATAATGCTTTTTATAATGATTGCATTGAAATTAATTTCATTTATTGGTTACTTTGTATGCAATAAGTTTATAATCCAGTAAGTACTTTTTCCTTTGAGTCTTACTGTGAGGAGGCATAATTAGGTTAGCTATTATGTTAATTTAGCAGATGGTTAATAATAATTAGTGATAATATAAAATACCCTTTGGTTCAGTAGCTAAACTGGCACATTTCAATAAGCCACTTCTCCCCAGTTAGAATGAATTCTGGTGCTAATGTATTTTATTAGGACCACGTTTCAGGGCAACATTATCCAATCATATAAGTTTAACTCCTGGATTTTATAATTTAATTATTTAAGTAACTTAAAGTTTTAATTAAAGTTAATCTTGGGAAAGAGAATTTAGGAGTATATGATTACTTGTCCTACCTAAAGTGTCACTGAATTTATTCTCTGTGGCTCCGAAAGTACAGAAGTCAACTTCATTCATCAGTTTTTAGTCTCTACTAAGTGTCAGGCACTGTGCCTAGGCACTAGGATTATCAAGTGGTAAGTCAAAGAGACATAATTTCTGATGGCATACACTTTGTAGTCTAATGGAGGATAATAAATTAGGATAGATTTAGCTGCCATAATAAAGACCCAAAATTAAAGTGGCTTAAACAAGACAGAAACCTGTTTCTCCCCCAAGTAATATCTAATGTGACTCCGTACTGTTAGGGACTAGGCTTGTTGCTTTGCTGTCCCTAAGATGTTGCCCTTCTTCCATTGTCCAGGATGGCTCATACCACTGTGTCTGCATTCTAGTCAGTACAAATGGAGAAGGGGAGGGCATGCCCTTTGCCTGTTAGAGGATCACTTAGAAATGGCATACTTTCCTTCTCACATCCCATTGGGCGACAACTTAGCGGCCACACCCTGCTGTGGAGGAGCCTGGGAAATGTAGTCTTTGTTCTGGATGGCCTCCAATCTAGCTAAAAATCGGGATTCTGTTTCTACAGAGGGAGAGAACAAATATGGAGGAAGAGCCTCTGTAATATAGATAAAACATGTCAAACTAATCACATAAATCAACCTAAAATTGTAGCTGTGTAAGTCTATAAAGAGAGAAAGAGTATACAGGGGGAATTTGATGTAGAGAGGGAAATCAAGGAAGCCCTTTCTGAGAAAGTGAGAATTTACAGAAGAGTAAAGCCAGAGAGCATGAGGGGAGTGTGGTGTTAGAAGAATGCCCAAACATTATTAAAAATACAATTTGTGGCCTAACTCTTAGGTATCCAAAGTGACGGCAGTTCATAAACATTTTTGCTCATGTCAAGATAATGTTGCATGGTAGTTCTTAGTAGCTTCATTTTGCAAATGAGAAGATTGAAGCTTTAGGGACTTGTCCTAAGGCCCCGCAACCAAAACTTTTAAGCAGTTACATGTGCCAGGCACTGTGCTAAAAATTTCACTTTCTTGTTTGTTCCTTACAGCAACTCCAAAAGGTAGCTGCTATTGTTATTCCTGTTTAGCAGCTGGGAAATGTTAAGGTTTAGATTTGACCAAAGTCATAGAGCTGGCAGATGGCAAAGCCCAAACTGACACTGAGCTGTCTCTGACTCCAGCCCCGTGCTTGCTGCCTTTCTACTGTGCATGGCCTTCATGCTCAGTGCCATGTAGTCTCAGAGGCTGTATTCTTAGAGCTGAATTCAGGCTCAGTATGAATTAGACACTTAATGGTAAATAAAACCATTACAAAATAAATTAATGACTTTTTTTTTTTTTGAGACAGAGTCTCTCTCTGTCACCCAGACTGGAGTGCAGTGGCACCATCTTGGCTGACTGCAACCTCTGCCTCGTGGGTTCAAGTGATCTTCCTGCCTCAGCCTCCTGAGTAGCTGGGATTTACAGACACCCGCCACCACGCCTGGCTAATTTTTGTGTTTTTAGCAGAGACTGGGTTTTACCGTGTTGGCTAGGCTGGTCTCAAACTTCTGACTTCAAATAATCTGCCCGCCTTGGCCTCCCAAAGTCCTGGGATTACAGGCATGAGCCACTGTGCCTAATCAGAAATTAATGACTTTTTAACTCATAGATTATATTTAAAGAGATGCTTATTGCTTATAGAAAAACTTTAATACAAAAAATATAAATTATTTGCATTTTACTTGTGTTTTTAGTATGTGTGTAAAGCGCTTCGAGAGTTATATGGTGTTAATTGCTCAGCTGAAGATGTTTTGAACTTGGATTCTAGCACTGATGAGAAATTCAGCCGGCATTTAATATTTCAGCTCCATGATGTGGCATTTAAAGATAATATTCATGTTGGTAAGTATACTGCTTTTTAAAAACCATGGAGTTGTATTCAAAACTCATATGCTCTTGTTCCTCTTAAAATTTTGTGCATACGTATCAACTTTTATGGTCATTAACTTATCCTAAAAAATGTGATGTGGGCTGAGTGCAGTGGCTCACGCCTGCAATTCCAGCACTTTGGGAGGCCAAGTTGGGTGCATCACTTGAGGCTAGGAGTTTGAGACCAGCCTGGCCACGCTGGCGAAACCCTGTCTCTACTAATTAGCCGGGCATGGTGGTGCATGCCTGTAGTCCCAGCTACTCGGGATGCTGAGGCACAAGGATTGCTGGAACCCAGGAGGCAGAGGTTGCAGTGAGCCAAGATGACACCACTGCACTCCAGCCTAGGCAACAGAGTGAGACCCTGTCTCAAAAAAAAAAAAAAAAAATGGCAATGTGTTTCTTCATGTTTTCAAGATGTTCCTTTAGCTTTAGACCTGCTTTCTGTTCTAGACACATCAGCCTATTCAGGACTTCTTTGGCATTTGCATCTCTAATCATAGATAGTGGGATGGCTATCCATGTCCAGATAGTGGTTTCTGCTCCAACAGGATTTATTTCAGTTTCCTGGAAAGTTCATGAGAGGCCTTTCCATTTCAAGCCTTATCTGCAATGTTGCTTCTGGATTTCTGACCTTTGCTTCGGCCTTGCTTTGGGGCTTCGGTCCCAGGTCGTATCAAAGATGACTTGTTTATTGTTCCAGGCAGAGCTTCAGGGTTGGGATAATTCTAGAGGTACAAGTCTGAAAGTGAAACTAGATTATTTATCTCAGGCCTGGGCATTTAGAGATGTAGGCCCAGGTGTTAAACATTAAGTCAGTCCAAAGGAGAAACACAGGGAATGGGAACTCCATAATGGAGGTCTGAACAGAAGCCAAATCCTGAGAGCTTATCAAAGCAGGGGTAGGGCAAGGGTCCAAACAGCAGATGATTGACTGAAGCTCAGGTAACAGGTAATTCAGTTCAGAGCTACTAGTGTCTTAGAGTTTCACAGTCACCTACAATAAAAGGTGTGGACATAGTCACTAAAGCACTGGCATGAAAGTCAAGAACCTGATTTCTGGCTTAGGGGAAGGTGGCCACAGAAACCCGGCGTGCTGTTTTCACAAGGCTCTCCTCACCTGCCTGTTTCCTGTTAGCTCAGCTGGACGTTCCTTCTCGGTCTCTCCCTAATCCTGTGAGAAGCACACTCACCCATCCAAACCTAAAGAATGAACTTAGAGGCTTGGAGAACGGTGAAAGTGAGACTTTTTTTTTTTGAGACGGAGTCTCGCTCTGTCACCCATGCTGGAGTACAGTGGCACGTTCTTAGTTCAGTGCAACCTCTGCCACCTGGGTTCAAATGATTCTCCTGCCTTAGCCTCCCGAGTAGCTGGGACCACAAGCGTGTGCCACCACACTCAGCTAATTGTATTTTTAGTAGAGACAGAGTTTCACCATGTTAGCCAGGATGGTCTTGATCCCCTGGCCTTGTGGTCTGCCCGCCTCGGCCTCCCAAAGTGCTGGGATTACAGGGATGAGCCCCTGGCCTGTTAGGACTCTGTCACCATCAAACCGTGTGAGAAGCTGTTTCTGTCACGTCTGAAACCCTAAGCCTTACTTAGATTAGTGTTCCTCTGGGTTGCAGAGAATGTCCAGAGTTATTGTGTCAAAGCATTTACCACTTCCTATGGTCATTTCCTGTTTTCTTTGTCATCTCTATTCTACTTAATGTTTCTCTAGGGCAGGGACTGTTTCTTACTTTTGTATTTCCAGAGCTTAGCCCATAATAAAAATATCATTATCAATAATATTACTAATATTATTAATATAAGAATAACAACAACAATAATAAATACAAGTTGGCAGCCTCATCTCCCGCCACCCTGCCCTTTTCATTCAGCTCCTATCATGGGCCACATTTTCTGTAGTGCTTGGGCCTCTGCACTTGCTGATGCGGCTGTCTAACACGATGTGGTCTGTTCACCTGGTCCTCCTTACTGTTCGTGCATTCATCCAGAAGGTATTAATAAATACCTTTAGGGACTTGTCCTAAGGCTGCACAACCAAGGCTTTTAAGCAGTTACATGTGCCGGGCATTGTGCTAATTCCTTAATTTCATTTTCTTGTTTACTCCTTACAGCAACTCCAAAAGGTAGGTGCTATTGTTATTCCTGTTAAGCAGCTGGGGAATGTTAAGGTTTAGATTTGACCAAAGTCACAGAGCTGGCAGATGGCAAAGCCCAAACAGAAACAGCTGTCTCTGACTCCAGCCCCGTGCTTGCTGCCTTTCTGCAGTGTGTGGCCTTCTTGCTCAGTCGTATCTGAATAAATCCCTTCCGAATGAATGCATGAATAGTGAGGAGGCACTGCTGTCAGGGTGTGGAGGCAGAGCACCAAACAGGCTATTTCTTTGCTTGCTGTTCACTGGTCATCGTCTGCTCTATGACTACTAGCCACAGGCCGAAAGCTGAGAATCTCTTGCTCAGGAAGGAGAGAATAGAAATTTGTGAGGTACCAGCAGTTTTTGCTACAGGTATCTTCTGAAAGCAGATGGCATTCATCTGGGCTTTCAGTCAGATTTCATTGTATAGTCAAAGGTAAGAAAGGCTTTACAGTCAGAACAGCATAAGCAAAGCTATGGAGATAAGAGTGTGTGGCTAATAATGGGGGACAGTGAATGGTCTAGTGTGGCTGGAGAGATGTGATCAGGCCTGGTAACTGGGCTGTCACCTCAGCCCCTTTGCCCTAGAATTAGGAGCTGCCAGAGCCAGAAGTGCAGAGAATATGAAGTGATTCAGAATTTTTCCTTTTTTCTTCCCTTAGTGTATCTTTGGATGACATTTCTAGTTGCTGTTGTCAGCCTTTCGGAGAAGAGAATTCAGTTAAATATAAGAGATCCTAGCTCTTGATCTGCCTAAAAATACTCTTCTGCCAGTTTGCTGTCATACCTCAAATTTCTGACCGACTAGTCTTTTGAGTTATTTCCAGCAAATAAGATAGTTCGTGTCCTCATGAGGGTTGGGAGCAATAAGATCCTGGAAGGGAAGTAGAAAGCAGTGTGGTTTGCTGGGGCCAGTGTGTTAGCATTGATGCTGGTGACAGTCCTCATGTCGTGGTTCTGGCCATGGTTGCTCCATGCCAGGGTTCCAAGGCCTGTGGCCTCCCCAGCACTGCCATTGCCTCCGTTTCTGCAACCGTGCACTCTCTTCTCTTATTGTGTGGGGTCAAGTAACTGCAATGTTAAGTTTTCAGGAAAATTAGCTTTATCAGTTTGGGTTTAGATTGCTTTGTTTTCCTTTGATGTGTTGTGATTTCTTTCCACTTGGTGTTTACTTTCTCTCCCTCATTCCAGAAGGAATCCATCCCGTACCAGCATATCATTGCGAGACCGAATGCTTTTGTTTCGATTTTGACATTTAGTGCTTTGTAAGAAATTGGATTTGTTTCTTTCAGTAGGGAAGTAATTTTTTTGTTTTGTTTTGTTTTTGTTCTTTTGTGAGACAGAGTCTCACTCTGTCACCTAGGCTGGAGTGCAGTGGCATGATCTTGACTCACTGCAACCTCCGCCTCCTAGGTTCAAGCAGTTCTCTTGCCTCAGCCTCCAAGTAGCTGGGATTACAGGTGCCCAGCACCACGTCCAACTTATTTTTATATTTTTAGTAGAGACGGGGTTTCACCATGTTGGCCAGGCTGGTCTCAAGTGATCTCAAGTGATCCGCCTGCCTCAGCCTCCCAAAATGCTGGGATTATAGGCATGAGCCACCACAGCTGGCTGAGTAGGCAAGTAATAAAATCTAATGTGAAGAAAAAATTTTGAAGTTAGAGCATGCATTTGTTATAATGTAAGGACCCAAGCCTTTCTGGTAAATAAAGTGAAGAATGAATCTAAACAATAACAGTTCTACAGATTAAAATTAACTTTTTCTTACAGTATTGCATTTCTTGAGTATTGGTATACATGAAGCAACTTAATAGCCAAATTATTTGATTTCATGGTGTAAAATGTGAGAGTTCGAAGAAGTTCTGGATTTTCTTACCAACTTTTCATGGTACAGATAGGACTACTGTTACTCAGAGTTTTTAGAATAAATGTTGAAGTACAGTAAATGTATCGAATTGCTTTTGTTGTGGATGTTAGCTCCGAGGCCGTAGTCCATTTTGTGCCCAGTTGGAGGCAGAGGTAGGAGCAGCAGCCTGGGGGCTGACGGCTGTGAAAGCCAGGGTTTGCAGGGCATGTCGTGGCAGGTAAAGGAGAGAAAATAAGCTCTTGAGAAATTTGCCAGCACCCTGACTCCCTGAGATTTCCTCAGTGCTTCTGTCTGTTAGCTGAGCAGTAGTTTCCTTATATAAACCTTCATTCTTCATTATTATTATTTTTATGATCCCTTAAGGGCACGAGGCCCTTCATTCTTTAATCATTGAATGTCCCAGTATGTGTTAATAAGTAGCGTTTTCTGGATGACAGCCTCTTAGGCTCAGGCCCCTACCGGCAGCATTGACACATCTTCTCAAATGAACTTTCCCTTCTAAGATGATTTGTTTACATCTGACACCAGGCTCCCAAGTCAATGGACTTGAAAAGGTAAACGATTTCACAAAAGGAAGTAAGTCACAGGACTGGCGTGTAACAATTTATAGCAACTTGGTTTTGAAATCAGAAATTAAAAAATGGTTTTCTGTATAAAATTGTCATGTGTGGGCCGGGCGCGGTGGCTCAAGCCTGTAATCCCAGCACTTTGGGAGCCCGAGACAGGCGGATCACAAGGTCAGGAGATCGAGACCATCCTGGCTAACACAGTGAAACCCCGTCTCTACTAAAAATACAAAAAACTAGCCAGGCGAGGTGGCGGCGCCTGTAGTCCCAGCTACTCGGGAGGCTGAGGCAGGAGAATGGCGTAAACCCGGGAGGCGGAGCTTGCAGTGAGCTGAGATCCGGCCACTGCACTCCAGCCTGGGCGACAGAGTGAGACTCTGTCTAAAAAAAAAAATTGTCATGTGTGGATTCATGGCTAGACCTTAAGATATGGTGTGTGGAAAAGAAGAATCGGGTGAATCATAACAGCTTTTTTCCTTAGGTAATTTTTTGAGAAAAATTTTGCAGCCTGCTCTTGACTTGCTTGGCAGTGAAGATGATGATAGCGCTTCAGAGACAACAGGCCACAGATTTCCCCATTTTTTGGAAGCACCTGCAAGACAAGAATTTTCTTTCACAGAGAAGGCTACAGGGGAAAGCTGGACATTGAATTCAGAGAAACTGGAGAGGCTGGGGTCAGCTGAGCAAAGCAGTCCTGACCTTTCGTTTCTAGTTGTGAAGAATAACGTGGGAGAGAAGCATCTTTTTGTGGATCTTGGTAAGTAAGATTGACAGCTGTCTCTATCAGACAGTCCTGGTGCTTTCGTGAGTGACAGGTTGGTGCCCACTCGTCACCATGCTTGGGATTCTCGCTTCTTCCACTGCCCAAGTCCCCAGCAGGATGCAAGCAGCGAGTTCAGGTGCTGGGAATCTGTGAGGTTTTTCTCCAGAGATCTTAGAGGGGTCCAGACCGGCCTGAGCTCCAGCAGAGGATGGCTGTGGCTGCCTTCTGCTCTGCGTGTCCAGAGGATTCCTGTTGAGGGAGTTTTACAGGAACAGTTGGACCAGCTTCCTCCAGGACCGCTGAGAGGTTAAGTCAGAGTACAGACATTTAAAAAACAGACCCAGTGTAAAAGCAGTACTCACGTGGCGCAGTGAGCCTGGATGCTTTCCTCGCCGAAGATCTCAGTGGTCGTGGCAGGGCCCATTTCATCAGCTTTCGTGCTGTGTTGAAACCAGTGATTTCTTAACCCAGTGTGGCTTTGCCAGGCCTTGGTCTCAGAGCCTGAGGATGTCAGAAGCCCTGGGCTGACAGGACTTGAGCATAATTCAACAACAGGCCAATCAAGACCCTAACACAACAGCTCCCATTTGGTGAACTGCACCTCATTTTTATACTGAGGCCCTAGCTTGTGATTTCAAAAGCCATGACAGCGGCAGGTTTTTTCTTTTTCTTTCTTTCTTTCTTTTTTTTTTAAGACGGAGTCTTGCTCTGTCGCCAGGCTGGAGTGCAGTGGCGCGGTCTCGGCTCACTGCAAGCTCCGCCTCCCGAGTTCAAATGATTCGCCTGCCTCAGCCTCCTGAGTAGCTGGGATTACAGGTGCGTACCACCACGCCCGGCTAATTTTTGTATTTTTAGTACAGATGGGGTTTCACCATGTTGGCCAGGCTGGTCTGAGACTACTGACCTCATGATCTGTCTGCCTCAGCCTCCCAAAGTGCTGGGATTACAGGTGTGAGCCATTGTACCCGCCAGACAGCAACATTTTTGCTGCTGGCTTTGAACACCTCGGAGAGCTTCAGTGTGTAAAGGCTGAGGGAAGGTAGGTTTAAGGTATAGGTCAGAATCCCAGGCCAACAGTGTACCGAGATTAGGGACGTGTTCCTGCTGGATTTCATGTTTTTCTAGCACCCCTGGCAATCGAGCACCAGAACTTGGAAAGACAGAGGAGTGTGAGGTGGAGCAGTCACACAGGCAGAGGCACCTTCTTCCAAGCCTGACAGGTTTTGCTTTATGAGCAGGATGTCGTCTCCGGGCGGGACTAGCCTGCAGTCAGTGAGGCCGAGTGCATAACAGGAAGTTGATCCAGGGAGAGCATCAGTGGCCAGCACCTGTCTCTACTTCTACCCCAGTATAACACAGTACCCCAGGTCACAGCACACCTAACCTTGGAAGTCAGGCTACCGGACTAGCAAGAAAATCTCCCTGGTCCTCTTGATACATACGCCTGGATTTACTCACATATCCAGAGAGGGTGGGGAAGTCGTTTCCTAAACCGTCCTTGAAAAGTTCAGAAATTTCATAGTATATGCTGAAATCTTGTTAAGAAACTTTTTTGTTGAAGTATAACATTTATACAGAAAAATATATACTTGATTACAGAATAAACACCCCTTGTCACCACACTACCCAAGACAAGAGATAGATGACCAGGACCCCCAACTTCATCCCCCTTCCAGTCAGGACCCCTCCCTCTGTCCCAGGGGTAACAACTATTCTGTCCTCTAACTCTGTGGGTGAGTTTTGCCTGTATTTTTACTGTGTAATTGGAATCACATACAGTTGACTCTTCAGCAATGCAGGGCTTGGGGAACCAACTTCTCTGTGTAGATCAAAATCCATGTATAACTTTTGACTCCCCAAAATCTTCATTACTGATACCCTACTCTTTTTTTTTTTTGAGACAGAGTCTTGCTCTGTCGCCCAGGCTGGAGTGCAGTGGCGCGATCTCGGCTCACTGCAAGCTCCGCCTCCTGGGTTCACGCCATTCTCCTGCCTCAGCCTCCCGAGCAGCTGGGATTACAGGCGCCCACCACATGCCCGGCTAATTTTTTGTATTTTTGGTAGAGACAGGGTTTCACTGTGTTGGCCAGGATGGTCTTGATCTCCTGACCTTGTGATCCACCCGTCTCAGCCTCCCAAAGTGCTGGGATTACAGGCGTGAGCCACCACGCCCGGCCAAGGATCACTTTTGACTGTGAAACGCAATTGATTGGTGTAATGACGTGCTCAGATGGAGAGGACTGGCATCAGGCCGTGTTGTAGGCAGATACCTGAGCTCACTGCAATAGCAAGAGGAGGCGGCTAAGAAATTATTGTGGTAGTGTAGTATGTACTGTGGTTAATCTTACGCAGTTATGATTTAATACTCTGTCTTTACATTTGTTTAGATTTTTCCCAACTGTGAATGGCATCATGTACAGTCTGCAAGGGTGTGCATATGTTTGGATAAATTTTAACTTTTTTATAACAGACTTATGTACATTTTATGGCAGTAAATGATAACTTAGACTAGCCATCTACATATATTTTATGCATTCATGAACACTTTTTCTAATTATTTTTAATTATTTTCTAACGTTTTCTAATTTTTTAGGCTATATGGTTCATCTGTGAGTTTTCTCAAGTTGTTGTAAGTCCCCCCAAAAGTTTCCAATATACTTATTGAAAAAAATTTGGCTCACGCCTGTAATCCCAACACTTTAGGAGGCCGAGGCAGGTGGATTGCTTGAGGTCAGGAGTTCAAGACCAGCCTGACCAACATGGTGAAACCCCATCTCTACTAAAAATACAAAAATTAGCCAGGCGTGGTGGTGCATGCCTGTAATTCCTGCTACTCGGGAGGCTCATACATGAGAATCACTTGAACCTGGGAGGCAGAGGGTGCAGTGAACTAAGTTCGTACCACTGCACTCCAACCTGGGCAACAGAGCGAGACTCAGTATCAAAAAAAAAAGAAAGAAGAAAGAAAAAAAATCACATATAAGTGGTGCTATTTAGCTGAAACCCTTGTTATTCAAGGGTAAACTGTAGTGTATGTTTGTGGTTGTCTTTGCACCCTTAGTCATGTCTTTGAGGAACACAAGTCATTAAATAGTAGTAGTAGTCTGATTTTATCAGTGTTTTCCTCTGTGGTCAGTGTTTCTTGCATCCTGTTAAAAAAACTTGGCCTATCCCAAAGCCATGAAGGTATTCTTTTGCTTTTCTTCTTTATCTTCTAAAAGCTTGTTGTTTTGCCTTTTATGTTTATGTTTAATTCATTATTTTTTAGAGACAAGGTCTCATTCTGTTGCCCAGGCTGAAGTGCAGTGGTATGATCCTGCAGCCTTGAACTCCTGGGCTCAAGCAATCCTCCTGCCTCAGCCTCAGCAGTAGCTAGAACTACAAGTGCATACGACCACATTTTTAAATCGATTTCTCCCCTCCCCTCCCTTCCTTTCCCTCCTCCTTTCCCTTCCCTCCTCCTTTCCGTTCCCCCTTCCCTTTCCTTCTCCCTTTCCCGTCCCCCTTCCCTTCCCTTCTCCCTTCCCTTCCCTTCTCCCTTCCCTTCCCTTCTCCCTTCCCTTCCCTTCTCCCTTCCCTTCCCATCGCCCTTCCCTTCTCCCTTCACTTCCTCTTCCCTTCCCTTCTCTTTCTTTCCCCTTTCCCTTCCCCCTTCCCTTCCCCCTTCCGCCTTCCCTTCCCTTCCTCCTTCCCCCTTCGCATTTCCCTTCCCCCTTCCCCCTTCGCGTTTCTCTTACCCCTTCCCTTCCCTTTCCCCTTCCCTTTCCTTTCCCCTTTCCTTTCCCCTTTCCTTTCCTTTCCCCTTTCCTTTCCCCTTCCCTTCCCTTTCCCCTTCCCTTTCCTTTCCCCTTCCCTTCCTCCTTCCCTACCCCCTTTACTTCCCCTTCCCTTCCCCCTTCCCTTCCCTCTTCCATTTCATTTCCCCTTCCCTTTCCTTTCCTTTTCCCTTCCCTTGCCCCTTCCCTACCCCCTTCTCTTCCCCCTTCCCTTCCCCCTTCACTTTCCTTTCCCCTTTCCTTTCCTTCCCCCTTCCCTTCCCCCTTCCCTTCTGCCCCTCCCCTGCCCCTTTCCTTTCCTTTCACTGTCCCCCTCTCTGTCTCTTTCTCTCTCTCTCTCTAAGTATCATAGAGCAACACAATTTTTTTATTTGTTTATTTTTTGTAGAGACAGGGTCTGCTATGTTGCCCAGGCCTCAAGTGATCCTCCTGTCATGGCTTCCCATAATGTTGGGATTACAGGCACAAGCCATTGCACCTGGCATGGCTTTTATGTTTAGATTTACAGTCTACTTAGAAAGGATTTGCTTATTGAGTGAGGAGCAGTCAAGATTCATGTTTTCTTTTGTGAATATCCGGTTGGCTCAGCACTGTTTGTTGAAATGACTGTCCTTTACCTACTGCTCAGCAGTGCCACCTTTGCCATATACAGTGGCTGTATATATTTCGGTCTGTTTCTAGACCCTGTTCTGCTTCATTGTTCTATTGATCTATTCCTGTCTAATACAGTTTTATATATTAGATAGGCACCACACTGTCTAATATGCTTTTGTTGTAAGTCTTTATATCTAGGAAAAACAATTCCTCCAAATTTGTTCTTTGAAATTTCTTGGTTATTCTTGAGCTTTTGCACTTCTGTTTAAATTTTAGAGTCAGTTTGCCAGTTTACGCAAACAAATCCTGCTAGAATTTTTATTTGGATTGCCTCGACTCTACAGATCAACTTGGGGAGCGTTGACATTTTTATAATACTGAGTCTTCCAATCTATGCACATGGTAGGCCCATCTATTTACTTAGGGATTCTCTAATTTTTCTCTATCATGTTTTATAATTTACTGAATAGAAATCTTATCCATATGTTGTTAGATTTATTCTAGATATTTGTTTGATTTTGGTCCTTCCCTTTTCTCTGGGATTTGGCATGGCACAACCTCACTGTCTTAGAAGCTCTCTGGTTGTCTCAAACTTTCCAATACCTGCATCCAGCTTTTCCATTTGTTTCAGTTGCAGAATTGCTGCAGAATAATTGAGTTTGCTATTTCAGAATGTGGCATTCCTCCATGCTGACTGCAGTTTATTTTAATTTATATAGTGCTTTAATTTTGTTTATTTTGTTTACAGCTACATGTAGAAAATACTTATTTCTTTTATTAATGCTATATAAAAATTGAATATTTGCTGACTATAAAACTAATCACAGAAAACATGCTTTCATATTGTTTTATTACTTTTTGATGTAGGAGTTTATACAAGAAATAGAAACTTTCGGCTATATAAATCATCAAAAATAGGAAAGCGTGTGGCTTTGGAGGTTCCTGAAGATAACACATTTTTTCCTATACGGTCGAAGGATGTTTCTGACGAATATCAGTATTTTCTCTCTTCTTTGGTCAGCAATGTCAGGTATGTAGTAGCAGCATCAAACCATTTTGTATTCATGAGTATTTATTTATTAAGCAGTGAATGGCATTGTGTATTACTAAAATGTAAATCATCTAAATTCATTCTACCTTAAGAAAAAGTCAGTTCTTACCGCTCTTTTTTTTGAATACAGAGTCTTGCTCTGTTGCCCAGGCTGGAGTGCAGTGGCATGATCTCGGCTCACTGCAAACTCCGCCTCCCAGGTTCACGCCTCAGCCTCCGGAGTAGCTGAGACTACAGGTGCCCGCCACCACACCCAGCTAATTTTTGTATTTTTAGTAGAGATGGGGTTTGACCATGTTAGCCAGGCTTGTCTCGAACTTCTGACCTCAGGTGATCTGCCCACCTCGGCCTCCCAAAGTGCTGGGATTACAGGCGTGAGCCACTGCGCCCAGCCAGTTCTTACAGTTCTAAGTTAACTTTTCTCTTTTCTCCATTAGCTAAAAGATAATAGTAAAACGTATATTTGAACACTTAATTTTCTCTGTATATCTTTTTAGGATTATATTTAGTATATTTTCCAATTTTTGGCCGGGCGCGGTGGCTCAAGCCTGTAATCCCAGCACTTTGGGAGGCCGAGACGGGCGGATCACGAGGTCAGGAGATCAAGACCATCCTGGCTAACACGGTGAAACCCCGTCTCTACTAAAAATACAAAAAACTAGCCGGGCGTGGTGGCGGACGCCTGTAGTCCCAGCTACTCAGGAGGCTGAGGCAGGAGAATGGCGGGAACCCGGGAGGCGGAGCTTGTAGTGAGCTGAGATCCGGCCACTGCACTCCAGCCTGGGCGACAGAGCGAGACTCCGTCTCAAAAAAAAAAAAAAAAAAAAAAAAAAAAAGTATATTTTCCAATTTTTCTAAAATGATTATCACTTCTGTTAAGAAGAAAACAGTACTACTGGTATTGCATTTGGAAATATTTTACTATTAAATGCCTCATTTTCTTTTCATGTATGCACATATAATTTGTATAGCTCCTTTATTCAAAAAATATTCTTGAGATTATTATTTAGATGATTGTCATTTGTTTTTTCTACTTGATGTTATGAATATTTGTTAAGAATTTGCCAACAATTAATTGTAAATAAAACTTCTAATGCCTGTGTAAAATTTCCATTATATTGACACTCTGGAATTTATTGTGAGTTCTATTGTTGAAACTTTAGGTTCCCATGTTTCGTTCATTTTTTAAAAGTATTTAAGTTGGCTGGGCACAGTAGCACATGCCTGTCGTCCCAGCTACTCAGGAGTCTGAGGTAGAAGGATCACTTGAGCCCAGGAGTTCAAGGCTGCAGTGAGCTATGAATGCACCACTGCACTGCAGTCTGGGTGACAGGGTGAGACCCCATTGCTAAAAACTAAAATAAGTAAATAAAAAAAAATAAAATCTGTGAAAGTCATCTTTCAACAGAAATACTATAACAAGTCATCATTTGATATTGATAAGTTATTGGAAACTGAACTTTAAACAAAGTGATGTATGATGAATCCAGTTGTTTTTTCTCATCCATGTTATAAGGCAGTGGTCGCCGGGTCACAGACCAGTGGTCTGTGGTTAGGAACTGGACCCTACAGCAGGAGGTGAGCAGTAGGCGAGCGAGCGAGCAGCCACCTTCCCACCTGAGCTCTGCCTCCTGCCAGATCCACAGTGGCATTAGATTCTTATAGGAGTGCAAACCCTGCTGTGTACTGTGCATGGGAGGGATCTAGGCTGCACACTCCTTATGAGAATCTAATGCCTGATGGTCTGAGGTGGAACAGTTTCAGTCTGAAACCAGCCCATCTCGCCCCCGCCCCACCCGTGGAAAGATTGTCTTCCAGGAAACCGGTCCCTGGTGCCAGAAAGGTTGGGGACTGCCGTTATAAGGAAATGATGTTGAACAAAAGAACGTTATTCAAAGACCTGCTAGATGTCATTTCTCTTAGAGTTGCAGTTTCCAAGAATCTATCCATGGCATTAAATGAGGACTTACTGTATTTGCCTTCATTCCCCATTTTTCTAGGCTGGCAACTTTTTCAGCCCAAAAAATGGTTAAGGTTCAGACTAAATTACCATCACCTTGCCATAATTCTTTTCCTTTTGCCTTTCTAAATATATATATATATTTTTTGAGACAATCTTGCTCTGTGGCCCAGGCTGGAGTGCAGTGGTGTGATCTCAGCTCAGTGCAACCTCTGCCTCACAGGTTCAAGCGATTCTCCTGCCTCAGCCTCCCAAGTAGCTGGGACTACAGGTGTGCACCACCACGCCCAGATAATTTTTGTATTTTTAGTAGAGACAGGGTTTCCCCATGTTGGGCAGGCTGGTCTCAAACTCCTGAGCTCAAGTGATCTGCCCACCTTGGCCTCTCACAAGTGCTGGGATTACAGGCGTGAGCCACTGTGCCCGGCCACTTAAATATAATTTTAAGGAAAAGTTCTCTGGAAATTAATTTTAGTAATTGTCTAAAATACATTGCTGTAGGGATAGTTGTATCAGGTTATACAGTTAACAGCCGTTACCCAGGAGGATGGAAGATGGATTGTTTTTCTTCATATATATATTTGTACTCTTTGAGTTCTTTTAATAACATGTCTCAGAAGTAAGGTCTGAGTTTCCTACTTTTAAATGGAAATGATACTAACACCTACCTTATGGAGTTGTCGAGAGCATTTAAAAAGTTAAAATTGTGCACATAAAACATATACAGCTGTGCCCAGCTCATGGCATCTGCTCAGTGAATGTTGTTGGTAGCGGTAGTAGTATCTGAGATTCTGAAAATGGGAAGTGCCATAGCAGGAGTGTACAAATTGTATATTTCCTGCCACCCCTTGTGGGCACCAGAATAAGGTCACATTCTTTCTACCACTTATGGAGAAGTGCGAAAAACAACATTGTTAGTTCTAGCTCCTATGGGAAAAGCAACTACAGCCGGAAGTGCAGGTAATCTCCCGATTACCCAATCCCGTTTCTTTCGCAGTTTAAATACGAATCTTACAGAGGTGGAGGGTTCTTCTACTGAATACAGTCACCTTGTCTTTTGTGTATTCCAAGTCAATACCAGGTATTTTACTTCTTGAAATAAAGGCTAAATCCTTTATGATTATGAATGTACCTTTTCTTTCCGTTAATTTTAATCTGTTTTTCCCTTTGCTCTCACCCCTCCTTCTTCCTTCATTTCTTCCTATAAGTCACACCTCTACAATTGTTGTAACAAAAAATTCAAAGGCTCTTTATGTTTGGTGAATAGAGTTATATAGTCGTCACCTGGTGTCTGTGGGTGATTATTATCCCAAGACCCCTGTGGATACAAAAATCTGCAGATGTAAAAGGATGTACTATTTTCACGTAACCCACACACATCCTCTATATATAATACTGTAAAAAATCCTGCTAGATTACCTATACCTAATACAGTACACATGCCATATAGTTGTTTTTAATTTGTATTATTTTTATTGTTATTTTTATTATTTTTTTTAAATTTTTTATTTTCACCTATTTACTTATTTTTTTGAGACAAAATCTCACTCCGTCACCCAGGCTGGAGTGCAATGATACAATCTCAGCTCACTGCAACCTCCGCCTCCGAGGTTTAAGCAGTTCTCCTGCCTCAGCCTCCCATGTAGCTGGAATTACAGGTGCCTGCCACCACACCTGGCTAATTTTTGTATTTTTAGTAGATGGGTTTCACCATGTTGGCTAGGCTGGTCTCGAACTCCTGACCTCAAGTGATCAGCCCATCTCAGCCTCCCAAAGTCCTGGGATTATAGGCGTGAGCCACTGCGTCTGGCCTATTTTTATTGTTTTTTAAAAAACATACTTTTGATGTGCAGTTGGTTGAATCTGCAGATGTGAAACCATGGACACAGGGCTTCAGCAGTCCTAGAGTCCCTGATCCATTCTGTAATTGAGGATAGTATTATAAGTAATCACCAACCTACTCTTTAAAAAATTATTTTCTTTAATTGACAAATCATATTTTTTATATGTGTAGGGTTCGTGGTTTTGTGGGCAAATGTGGAATAAATGTCCTAGAACAATTATCTGCTGAACAAAGGATTTTAATGAGGAACTATTAGGAATTCAGCATCCTTTCTGTAGCCAGGCCTTGTAGTTCCAGTGTAATGGTGCTTTGTTTCTTTTACCTATTTCTTCTTCAGGTTCTCAGATACTTTACGAATTCTTACATGTGACCCGTCTCAGAATAAACAAAAAGGAGTTGGATATTCTAACAGTATCGGCACTTCAGGTAACTTTTTTGATGTTTGTTTTCTTTTTAAGACAGCATCTCTTTGTCACCCAGGCTGGAGTGCAGTGGTGCGATCTCGGCTCACTGCAGCCGCCTCCTTCCAGGCTCAAGCCATCCTTCTGCCTCAGCTTCCAGAGTAGTTGGGTCTACAGGCGTGCACCACCACACCCAGCTAATTTTTGTGTTTTTAGTAGAGATGAGATTTCACCATGTTGCCCAGACTGGTCTCGAACTCCTGGGCTCAAATGATCTGTCTGCCTCAGCCTCCCAAAATGCTGGGATTACAGGTACAAGCCACTGCACCCAGCTACTTCAGGTAATTAAAAAAAAAAAAAAATTCCTATCAAAATGTAAGGATACAGAATCTGTTTTGCCTTTAAAATCTTAAATGTTAAGTATTCATAATCACTGATCTTTCAAAAACTACCTCTAGCCAGGCACACCTGTAATTCCAGCACTTTGGGAGACTGAGGCAGGAGGATCACTTGAGCCCAGGAGTTAGAGACAATCCTGAGCAACTTAGCAAAACCCTATCTCTACAAAAAAATCCAAAAATTAGCCAGGAGTTGTGGTGCATGCCTGTCGTCCCAGCCACTCAGGAGGCTGAGGCAGGAGGATCTCTTGAGGCCAGGAGGTTGAAGCTGCACTGAGTCTTAATGGTGCCATTGCACTCCAGCCTGGGCAGCAGAATCACACCCTGTCTCAGCCAGTCAGTTAATCAGTCAATCACTCATCTACTTCAGGGTTTCTATCTCAAACGCAAAAAGTATGAAAAAGATGTTTATTAAGAAGTATTCGCTGGGCGTGGTGGCTCATGCTCTAATCCGAGTACTTTGGGAGGCCGAGGTGGGTGGATCACCTGAGTTCAGGAGTTTGAGAATAGCCTGGCCAACATGGTGAAATCAGTAAAAATATAAAAATTACCCAGGCATGGTGACAGGTGCCTGTAATCCCAGCTACTCGGGAGACTGAGGCAAGAGAATCGCTTCAACCTGGGAGGCGGAGGTTGCAGTGAGCTGAGATCGTGCCACTGCACTCCAGCCTGGGCAACAAGGGTGAGACTCCATCTCAAAAAAAAAAAAAAAAAAAAGTATTATTCACTAATGTAGGTTATTTGTATAAAATAAACACATAACAAAATGAAAACTTAAATTTCTTTTTCACCCTTCTATCCATGATCAGTCAGGTAAATACTGCAGTCATTTTCTATTTAACCTAGAAGAGCTTTTCCTATGTTTCCAATATATGTAGAGAGATCTTCCTCAGTCTTTTAATGGTTGTGTAGTTTTTCATGGTACAGCTCTGTCATAACTTACCCATTCCTCTATTGAAGAACATAGAGCATTTTTTTCAAATATTTCTTACATAAACCCTCCAGTAAACATTTTTATACACGTATTTTTGTATATTGTTGTTATTTATAATAGTGAAAAAATGAAAGCAATCTAAATGTACAGCAAAAGTGAGTTGGTTATATACTATGAAATCCTCTAGCTGTTTAATTTAAATTTATGAAGCCTGTATAATGTGGAAAACACCCATTTGTGATGTTAAAAGAAAAAGTAGTCTCTAAAATTATGTGTATAGTATGATTATAAGCTTACTTTAAAATATAGATAACATTTTCTTATGTTTATTTTCTTCTGTTTCATATGTATTTATAGACATTGATTTAGAGTCCACATCTCACATTTCCACATTAATATGTTTTCCAATATTTCTCCAATTATATATATCATTTTAGTAAGTGAAACATAAACTTCACTTAAAGCAAACTTGGATCACGAGGTCAGGAGATCCAGACCACGGTGAAACCCGGTCTCTACTAAAATTACAAAAAATCAGCCAGGTGTGGTGGCGGGCACCTGTAGTCCCAGCTACTCTGGAGGCTGAGGCAGAGAATAGTGAACCCTGGAGGCGGAGCTTGCAGTGAGCCGAGATCGCGCCACTGTACTCCAGCCTGGGTGACAGAGCGAGACTCCGTCTCAAAAAAAAAAAAAAAAAAAAATTATACTGGCTGGGTTCGGTGGCCCATGCCTGTAATGCCGGCACTTTGGGAGGCCAAAGCAGGCGGATCATGAGGTCAGGAGTTTGAGACCAGCCTGACCAATGTAGGGAAACCCCATCTCTACTAAAAGTACAAAAATTAGCCAGGCATGGTGGCGGGTGCCTGTAGTCCCAGCTACTCAGGAGACTGAGGCAGGAGAACTGCTTGAACCCGGGAGGCGGAGGTTGCAGTGAGCCGAGATCGCGCCACTGCACTCCACAGAGCCAGACTCCGTCTCAAGAAAAAAAAAAAAAAATTAAACGATACTTAAAATAGGTCATTCTAAATTACTAAGTAGCTTTTTAGAAAATATAATTGGATTGTCAGTACCTTCCAGCTAAAGGCCTCAGGGCACACACCTGTAGCAGGTCAGCTGAGTGTATTGCCAGGGAAGCGATGGCCAGCACGCACCACGGGGAACCTCAGTAAAGTGGGGCATCTCGGGAAGAGGGGTTGGAAAGGACCGGGAGGACTGGATTTGGGCTTGGAATGGGTGGGCGGGGGGAGCACACCAGGAACCCTGGGGTTTGTTCTGCGTTGGGTGTTGTCAGGCACAATTCTATGACTGGTTTTCTTAGTAAAGCTTCACTGAAGGGAAACCAGAATAGAAATTAACAGTGTAATTTGTTAAAAACAAACGAACAAACAAAAACCAGTTGCTTATGTTCGCTGAGATCAGGGGCGTTGGTCATTTTTGTGGTTTGGAAGATGTTCCTGTTTTGTCTGTGTTCGGACATGATTACCCAGGGGTTATCTTTGTTCCTCGAGTCCTCATGACCACAGGGGCCTTATCTGTTGTTGACGTTCTGTGAGTGCCTGTGTTCACAGGACAATGCCCAGGCTGAGGCAGGCGTGCCAGGCTAGCGCATGGCAACACCAAGGCCTGGCTGATGGAACTAGGCCTGTTCCGGATGTGAGGCACTGCCTTTCTGTTTGCCAAAATGAAGACAGCAGTTGAAATTATTTCAAGCGCTTTTTATGAAATTAGTTAACATTTGACCTAATTGAGAGGTTTGACTTTTACCTGCTTCCTTGTAGTGTAACAAACATAAATTGACTGAAATTGCAAAAAGTGAGGGAAGGCCGAGAGATTGCAAAACCCATAATTGTACTCAACAGCATTTAATCAAAATGTAACTTCTCAGCTTTCAGCGATTGTAATTTATAAATCATTCTCTCTGTTGCAGTAGAAACCATTGGAGGTTTTCAGTGCTCTCCCTATCCTGAAGTTGATCATTTTGTTCTTTCTTTGGTGAATAAAGATGGCATTAAAGGAGGTAAAGTTAATCTCATCCTTTGTTAACTGTTATATGATAGAGTGATAGTACCTTTAGAAACATTATTTGCATTTTAGGAATTCGGCGTTGGAACTACTTTTTCCCAGAAGAGTTACTGGTTTATGATATTTGTAAATATCGGTGGTGTGAAAACATTGGAAGAGCCCATAAGAGTAATAATATAATGTAAGTAATATTAATGATTTGTATGTATTTAACCAATATTATATTTTAAATGTTTATAACTTTTAAATAAAGTTGAGACTATGAAAACTATTTTGTTTTAAAAATAAATTTAGTTGTTTTAAATTTCTTTTTTTTTTTCCAAGATGAAGTCTTGCTCTGTTGCCCAGGCTGGAGTGCAGTGGTGTGATCGTGGCTCACTGCAACCTCTGCTTCCTGAGTTCCAGCAATTCTCCTGCCTCAGCCTCCTAAGTAGCTGGGATTACAGGCGCCTGCCACCACGCCCAGCTAATTTTTGTATTTTTAGTAGAGACGGGGTTTTACCATGTTGGCCAGGCTGGTCTCCAACTCCTGACCTTGTGATCCACCCGCCTCAGCCTCCCAAAGTGCTGGAATTACAGGCGTGAGCCACCGCACCCGGCTGTTGTATTAAGTTTCTATTTGTTGTATATGGTTAGCATTACATAATATTTAATTTCAGTGTAATTATTGCATCGCTTCTAGCACATCAGCTTTATGTGTACTTTATTTGCTAAGATAATAACCGCTTAGTATATCTGGAGAGGACAAAGGTGGGGTTGAGTAGGGCTGGGAGAAGGCTGTGGGCGGGGTGCCGTGGGGGTGGGAAGCGTGCCTCTCCTTCCTGTTGCCATTGGCCCTTGCCACATTATGGACTCTACGTTGAAAGTGCGCAGGTTTAGGCAAGAAGGTATCTCCTCAGTTATTGTGAAGAACTGGAGCTAGGATTGTGTTAACTTGTTCAAGACACAGCGTGGTATGGAGGGAACTAGTAGTTATTGAATGCTTGCTATATATGCCAGGCCCTGTTTGAGAGATTTTCTTTAAAATGCCCATGGGAAGAGGAGGGAAAGTAAAGGATGAAGTAAAGCCAGAAATAGGACTTTAAAACATAAAAGGATGTGATTAGAATAGAGATGAATAGATACCCAGTAGTTACCAGTTATGATGTGAGAAATTTTGCTGTTTTTTATTTCATGTCAAACCAACTCCTGTATCGTCGAGCATATGTGGCCTGTGTGCTGGACGTGGGGAAAGGATCGGGACGCTCTTTCTGGGAAGCTGGAAACACATTGGGTAGCATGGTTCGGTGCCATACTTGATGTACTTAGATTAATTCAGTTTTAAAAAAGCTTGCAAAAACTGTGGGCTCAGTACACAAAGCTGTAACACAGAAAACACGAAGGAGATCAGTGCCACAGTCGGGACATAACCGCAACTATCAGTTGACGTATCTTCTGTTCTTTTTCGTACGCATATTAACTTACCAAAAAATCATTATCACGTGGTGATCATAACACCTTGTATTATGTCTCCATGATCTATTCTATTTTTTACCCGTAGAATGTATCTTACGTACAAAAGTATAGATAACACACTTTTTTTTGTTTTCTGAGACAGAATCTCGCTCTGTCGCCCAGGCTGGAGTGCAGTGGCGTGATCTCAGCTCACTGCAACCTCCACTTCCTTGGTTCAAGTGATTCTCCTGCCTCAGCCTCCCAAGTAGCTGGGATTACAAGTGCGTGCTACCACGCCCAGTTACTTTTTGTAATTTTAGTAGAGACGGAGTTTTACCACGTTGGCCAGGCTGGTCTCAAACTCCTGACCTCAAGTGATCTGCCTGCCCTGGCCTCCCAAAGTGCTGGGATTACAGGTGTGAGCCACCTCACCCAGCCGATAACACACTTTTATACGCACATTTTAAAGACTAAAATGACCACCTGTCGTATCTGCCACCCACCTTAAGAACCAGAACCTGATCAAACCTCAGAAGCACCTGTGGGCCCAACCCCAGTTTCCCTCTCTCCCTGGCCCTCAGAGATGGTGGCCAGTGTCCCGATTTGTGTTCATCTTTTCCTTGTTTTTATGATTTTTCCATGTATGTTCATATCTCTAAACAATATACTGTTTTCTTTTTTTTTTGAGACAGTTTCACTCTTGTTGCCCAGGCTGGGGTATAATCATGCGATCTTGGCTCATTGCAACCTCTGTCTCCCGGGTTCAAGCAATTCTCCTGCCTCAGCCTCCCGAGTAACTGGGATTACAGGCGTGCACCACTATGCCCAGCTAATGTTTTGTATTTTTAGTAGAGACAGGGTTTCTCCATGTTGGTCAGGCTGGTCTCGAACTCCCGACCTCAGGTGATCCGCCCGCCTCGGCCTCCCAAAGTGCTGGGATTACAGGCGTGAGCCGCCGCGCCCGGCCATAATTTTGAACTGCATCCTTTCCCTTGCTTTGCGGCAGCATGTCTGTGATTCTCACCCACGTTGCAGCGCGCGACTGTTGTTTATTCGGGTCATTGTTGTGCCGCATGCCATGTACGTAAATAGAAATATGCCACAGTTTATTTTCCCACAGTGGACATTTGGGTTGCTATTATAAACCATGAAGGTGGGAACCTTCTTGTACATAGCACCTAGGACACACGTGCAAGACTTTCTCAAAGTGGACTTGCTGTGTCATGGAATATGTACATATTTAATTTTACTAGATCATAAATTGTTTTCCCAAATGGATGTGCCAGTTTATAGTCCTGCCAGCAGTGTTTTGAGATTTTTCTACTGTTCCAGGTTCTCACCAACACTTTTGTATTGTTAGGATTAAAAAATTGGTTTTGCTCATCTGGCAAATATAAAACAATATTGTGGTTTTCATGGGAATTTCCCTGATTAATGAAGTTGAGGACTGGATAATCAAATTACATCCACGCACATCAGAAATCTTGCCCAGTGTCAAGCTTTACTAATAATGTCAGAATACAAGGAATGAAAAGGCACAAATGGGGCAGAGCAAGGCCCAGGGCATCTGCTCTTTCTGACTCACGCGGAAACCCGAGGCAGAAGTGCGCAACCCTGCGCACAGCGGAAGCGCCAAGGTTATGACTCACCTGCACTGTAGACTCCAGTTGCACAGCTGGGTGACATTTCTGGAAAGCGTGCCTCGTAATGCATCCATTCCAGACTGACTTACCAATGCAATTCTAAAATCAGAAACCTCCCGCAAAGAGCATTGTGTAGGTAAGGACTGAACGCCTAGCATTTGGTCCAGAAGTTCCCAGATTTTCTTGGTTCATGGTTCCCCTGGTGTCTTTGTTTTTTCACGTTTTCTCTGAGGCCGAAAGAAATACCTGAGCTCTGGTAATGAATTTCAAACAACTTGGTAAGTGTTTATGTCCTAACAGTTTAGTGGCAGTTTGAATAACAGTATCCATTAAACTAAAACAAACAAACAAAAAACCAAACTTTTATTTCATTCTTAAATACTATTACTTATTAATGGGATGTATACTCTCCTTTTTTTCATGTTTTTGAGACAGGGTCTCACCCTGTCACCCAGGCTTGAGTGCAGTGGCATGGCCCAGGCTTGAGTGCAGAGTGCAACGGCTCACTGCAGCTTTCATCTCCTGGGCTTCAGCGATATTCCTGCTTCAGCCTCTCCAGTAGTTTAGACTACAGGTGTGCCACCATGGCTGGTTATTTTTTAAATTTTTTGTAGATGGGGTCTCTCTCTGTTGCCCAGGTTGGCCTCGAATTCCTGCCCTCAAGCTATCCTCCCACCTCAGCCTCCCAAAATGCTGGGATTACAGGTGTGAATCACCTCGCCAGGCCTATGTATGCGCTCTTAAACTTTGGAATCAGATTAGACACCGGCCTCCCTAACTCATACCTTGTTCTCCGTTGATGTAATAATGGTGCTTTTTTGAGACGGAGCCTTGCTCTGTCACCCAGGCTGGAGTGCAATGGCGCGATCTTGGCTCACTGCAACCTCTGCCTCCCGGGTTCAAGCAATTCTCCTGCCTCAGCCCACTGAGTAGCTGGGATTACTGGTGCCCGCCACCACGCCCGGCTAATTTTTTTTGTATTTTTATTAGAGATGGGGTTTCACCATGTTGGCCAGGCAGGTCTCAAACTCCTGACCTTGTGATCCACCCACCTTGGCCTCCCAAAGTGCTGGAATTACAGGTGTGAGCCACGGCGCCTGGCCTGATGTTAATGGTGCTTTTTATTATAACCACACCCCAAAACCCAGCTCTACAAAGATGCAGCTGTATTATTTGGTGAATACAGGTTGAGAATTGTTGTATCTTCCTGGGGGAACTTTTGTATCTACTTTTTGCCCTGCAGTTCATTTTGTGTGATTTTTGGCAACCACTGTTTTGGTTGATATCTATTTTTATCCTTTCACTTTTTAATTTTTCTCCATATTTGTAAGTTTTAGGAATTTTTTTTGGAACAGCATGCAGCTGGATTTTGTTTTCTACCCAGTCTGGGTATTAATATTACTTTTTTTTTTTTTTTAAACATAAAGGATTCTGGTTGATCTGAAAAATGAAGTTTGGTATCAAAAATGTCATGACCCTGTATGTAAAGCAGAAAACTTCAAATCTGACTGTGAGTTACTAATTTTTACTTTTACCACAAAGTAAAAATTCGATAGCTATAATATGTAATCGTTTTGCTGTCTTTCTGATTCAGGTTTCCCATTGCCTGCTGAAGTATGTCTCCTGTTTCTTTTCAAAGAGGTAAGTACAGATTTTAGTCTTTCTCCTTACCAGGGAGTTATTGGTACAATAGTATACCTGAGCCATGAGTGTCCAAATAGCTTTGAAACCCATTTGGTACCTTGTTTTCACTTATGACTGTATTGTAGGAATATATTGTAGTGATTTTCCCATTTCAGCACATACCTAATACACACCTTGTTTGATTTCACTGCTGCTTGAGAAGGTGTACAATTTCATCAGTCCCAGGCATTTAAGAAGTTTCCCATATTTTGCTTTTCAAAGTAACAAAATACCCATCTTTGTGTTTCTTTGAACATTTGTATCTGTAGGATGAATTTCTAGAAGTAGAATTGTGTCAAAGGGCATATTCAGTTTTAATTTTGGCAGGTATTACCAGATTGTCAAACCAACATTTTTCTCTTAAAGATTTTTATTTACCTAAATAATTAACATGCATTGTAGAATGAAATGAAAATACATAAAATTAGGTCAGGCACGGTGGCTCAGGCCTGTAATCCCAGCACTTTAAGAGGCCGAGGCAGGCGGATCACTTGAGGTCATGAGTTTGAGACCAGCCTGGCCAACATGGAGAAACCCCATCTCTACTAACAATACAAAAATTAGCCAGGTGTGGTGACCCATGCCTATAATCCCAGCTACTCAGGAGCCTGAAGCAGGAGAATCCCTTGAACCCGGTAGGCGGAGGTTGCAGTGAGCTGATATCATGCCACTACACTCCAGCCTTGGTGACGGGATCAAAACGCCATCTCAAAAAAAAAAAAAAAAAAAAAAACACCAAAAACCATAAAATTAGGAAATACACAAAAAGCAAAAGAGGAATCTTCCTCACTCATTTGACCAGAGATAAATGATACAAATGTTTTGGCATGTACCTTCGAGAATTTATGTGTTCATTGTGATAGCACACATACTATTTCAGTTTTTTTTCTACTTGAAGTATCACAAATATCTTCAGTGGCACAAATTGCTCTCCATGCAAAGTATAGGATATTAGACCTCCACAAATAATTTGAGAGCACCTATTACCTCACACTTTGCCAACAGTGCTTGTTTACCTCGAATCACTACTCATCTGGTAGGCAAAAATGCAGTACCTCAGTTGTTTTAATTTGCATTTCTTTAATGAACTTTTTTCAGATTCACTATTAGTATTTCTGTAATGAAGTACGTGTACCTGTCCTCTATCCATTTTTCTGTAACTTTTTTGCAATAACTTAAGTACTCTTTTTGACATATTTCTTTTACTTTTAGGTTTTAGTTTGTGTTTTTGTTTTTTTTGGTCGCATCTATCAGCTTTTTCCTTTATAGTGTTACGGTTAGAATAAAGTTACCTGCTACAAGCAGAACAAGTGATTGGGTTTACAGTCTAGAAAATTCAATCTGGTATCTCCTCAAGTTGTAACACATGTCCATCGAGAAAAACTCCATCCGTTTGAAATGGTGGAAATTCCATTCTTGGTCTGCAAGAGCTGGACATAAAATAACTGATAGCCAAATTCTCTGGCAAAATACCAGGTTAAAATGTGTGTTGAAATAAGAACAAAGTAAATTTCAAAAAATAAACTGTCTCCCAGAGGAGGAGGATTTTATCATCCTTGTTGGTCTGGATTGTGATTTAGATAGTTGTGGTTGCAGTGGATTTTTAAGCTTTTTCCGCTTATCCAGTAACGTGTCAAAAATGCCAAGTTGAAAGTACCATTGGGGTACAGTATTACTACCTAGACGTAACTGTTTAAAATAATAAAAGATATATAATGAACACCCATGTACCTATCACTTGGTTTTCAGTTAACATTTTGCCTCATGCTTCATCTGGTTTTTAAAAAAATATTTTAAACTAAATTACCAGTTGGTTTTATTTATACCTGTTTTTCTATTGCACTGATCATTTTAATTCATTGGTGACCTGATTTTAAATTTAATATAAAGGTCTGACCTACGGAAATGTACAAGAATAAGGAACTCTGCTGTCTGTCCTTCATTGAGATTTGCCATTTGTTAACATTTGGCAACATTCGTTTTCTCCTTCTACTGTATATACATATGCATTCTTATTTTTGATGACTCAAACTGCAGACATCAAAACCCTTCATCTCCTAATATTTAAGCACGTAGCTGAATAAGACCTTCTGTAGATTTTTTAATGAGAGGGGGGTATCATGTTGCCCGGGCTGGTCTCAAACTCCTGGCCTCAAGCAGTCATCCTGTCTTAGCCTCCCAAGTAGCTGGGATTACAGGCACGTGCCACTGCACTGAATAAGGACATTCTTTACATAAATAATTTTTTGAGAGGATCAACTAAATGTCTATACTGACGACATTCTATGGTAAAATAATTGATACAATACTATTATGTAATATACAATCCAGTCATATTTTGGCAACTGTTTTTAATCTTTTTTCAATCCATGTTTATAATTTTCTAAATACTTTAAAATTTAGAGCATGGGTAGTAAGTCCATTGTAAAGGTAGCAAATTTATCTTGATTTGTCTTCAGCTGGACTGTCCACTTGTTAAAAAATTAAATCTACTCTTGCTCTTCCTCCATTGGGGAATATTGAAAAGTATGTGTCACAGCACTGCAGGTAATTTTAAATTTGGAGTTTCAAGTGTGTCTGAGCTTCGGTGCAGCAACGTTTGCATCAGTGCACTCATTCCCACCGTGCGATATCGGAGACAGCATTCCTTCAGCATATTCACTTTAGTATCTGTCACTTAATACCTTACTTCAACATAGAGTATATGGTTAAATCACATATCCTGAGTAAATATTTTCCTGTCCCACTCTCTCACCCTTCCCCACTGAAATAAAGGAAGAAGAGTTGACAATAGATGAAGCAGATGAAACTAGGAGCAATGAAACCCAGAATCCTCATAAACCATCACTTAGCATGCTGTCAGCAGGTGCATCTGCTGATGCTGTCTGGGATAATGACATTGATGATGCTTATTTTTTAGAAGCTACTGAAGATGCTGAATTAGCTGAAGCTGCAGAGAACAGTCTTCTCAGTTATAACAATGAAGCGGATGAAATTCCTGATGAGCTAATTATAGAAGTATTACAAGAGTAGCTAGTTCACTATGGACACTTTTGTCACCAGGCTATAATTTGCCTGATGTCTGTGAGATTTGATAAATATATCATTCAACCTGATAAGTTTTATCACTTTGCTTTCCAATTTTTGTTTTTTACTTCTATAAACCAATTTTATTAAAAATTACCTTTGATGTACTTAAATTCAATAGAAGTCGCCTTAACTAATCAAAATTACATTCACATCAACTTAATTTTACAGGTTTATTACAGCTCATATCTGGGGCTGATTAAGGTGTCAACATTTTTAAATTAAGATATTAACCAGAAAAGATGATTATGGCCTCTAAAACTATTGGACAAACTGATGCTATTTAACATTGTTCACAGCCATTTAATTTGAATAACAAATTTTAGATTCTGGCAAGTAGGCCATAACTTCTTTGCAAAACAATTTATTTATAAAAGTACAGTTTCAGACGGTAACAGCATGAGACTAGTCTTCCTATGGGCACATTTTAGTAGATTGCTCTTCTCATTCCTGGTCAAGGAGCTTCTCTAACTGATGGTTGATATTTCGCAGATGGCTTTCGGCTCCCAAAAGTGTTCTTGCTTTAAATAACAGGGCTGGAAGGCTGGATGAATCATACTGTTGAAAGAAAAAAACTTATATAATTAGCAATATCAAAAACTTACAACCTTGTCGTTACGTAGCCCAGTCTTATGACCAATGCAAATTTTGATTGAGCTTTCCATTAACTACTCCTCTCATTTTTAACTAGGACCATTAAGACAACTGGTTTTAATCCATTTCCTTAAAACATAATTGATCACAAAGTTGCTAGGGAGCTGCTCTGCAAAGCTTGAACTGATCTTCTTATCCCAGAAGACCAGTTGATTCAAAGAACTGTATCATCTCTATTACTGAAGACAGGAAATCATGCCTAGGACACGTCAAGGCTTGGTTTTGGCAAGTCTGCTCGTGCTGTGTAGGGTCTGCTTGATATCATGTCTATTTTAAAACACAGAAAACTGTAAGATAGGTTTTACTTTAACTAAAGAACTAATGGAATGAGGACACCAGATCCATAAAAGTTTCTAAGAAAAAAAAAACCCCAAATCTATCATCTCAAGAAATTATTGGGAGAATCAATTAAATGTCTCAAAGGTTGCCAATCCAAATGTTCTTAATGATTAAAGTTAAAATTAGAACACAAACCCAACATAAAATAAAACACAACATCCAACTCATGATTTTGAAATAATTAACATTTTGAGACGGAGTCTCACTCTGTCAGCAGGCTAGAGTACAGTGGCGTGATCTTGGCTCACTGCAATCTCTGCCTCCTGGGTTCAAGCAATTCTCTGCCTCAGCCTCCCGGGTAGCTGGGATTACAGGTGCCCGCCACCAGGCCCGGCTTTTTTTTTTTTTTTTAATTTTTTTAGTAGAGACGAGGTTTCACCATGTTGGCCAGGCTGGTCTTGAACTCCTGACCTTGTGATCCACCCGCCTCAGCCTCCCAAAGTGCTGGGATTACAGGCGTGAGCCACCATGCCCAGCCCCGATTTTGAAATAATTAACAAAGTCAAAATTCCAGTTGCAAATTGTATCTAAGGGTGCATGATTAAATTCCCCTTACAGAATTGTATCATACTTTGATAGTTTGCTGTTTAATATCATGTTTTCAAGATGACAGCAGAAAAGCTGTCATGCTGTGACTACCACACATGATAATGAAATTTTATACAAATATTTGACAAACTAATGTGTTCAAGCTCCCATGGGCACCTGCTCTAGGGAGGGATAAAGGGGAAGAAGTTACATTTGTCACTAAATGTTTAGAGTAAGACATATGCCCAAATATCTACACTCAATAAGGCAAAAGTGACAGTTACTACAAGGAGTGCAAGAAGGCACTGAGGTCATGCCAAGAACAGGATGCTCATCCAGTGGTGTTTTCCAGACAAGGCAGAGACACTAAACCTCGCTTTTAACTAAAGTATTATGTTCAAGCTGAATCAATGCTACAGGTAACTTCCCCAAATTTAGTAACCAAACTCCAAATCATAAGCTTTGGACTAGTTAGGTAATTTTAAAAAATACCTTTAAAAGCATTCTATTTCCAGATCTCTAATATATAAACAAATCTTAGGCTCAGGAAAATTAACTTAGATCAGTGTCAAAACCTTAACATTGAATTTAGAAGTGAAGAATACAAATCTGATCATAAAATATGTATATATTACATATAATTATACATATTTCATATAAATTATATTAGGGTATACAAATTTTTTCCCTAAAGCTTAAACATTTCTATTAATCTGAGGCAGATGGCGTAACAGTAGCAAAGTCTGCAGTAAAAATCCAGAAGCAACTACAAAACGTATTAAAACAATAAGTATGTTCTCCCATTATATTCCCTTTTAATGTTTCTTAACTTTTTTTTTTTTTTTTTTGAGACAAGGTCTTGCTCTGTCACCCAGGCTGGAGTGCAGTGGTGCGATCACAGCTCAGTGCAGCCTGGACCTCCAGGGCTCAAGTGATCTTCCCACCTCGGCCTCCTGAGTAGCTGGGACTACAGGCACGGACCACCACACCTGGCTAGTTTTTGTATTTTAGTAGAGAAAGGGTTTCACCATATCGCCCAAGGCTGGTCTTGAACTTCTGGGCTCAAGGGATCTACCTGCCTCAGCCTCCCAAAGTGCTATGATTACCAGTGAGAGCCATCACACCCGGCCTGTTTCTTAGCTTCTAAAATCATACCTACCACTTATATGGAAAAATAGCTTGTTTTTCATATGTAAAAGACGCTGTGAACATGGGTTAGACAAAACGGAAAAGGTTGGTCTTTCAAACATGGCTGAGTGGTCTTATATGAATGAAAATTATAATACAGCAGAGTGTGATTTTTCAGTTGAGATTTATACACAGAATATAAACTTCCCTTGATGAAATTCAGCTGTCTGAGTGAAAATATCTTACACGAATCAGCAATTCTGGACATTACTCCTTCAGCCTTCATTAAGTAGCTAAGAAAAGTGCTAATATAATGAAGTTTCACTGGCTTACAGCGGTACTATTTTAGGTGGACTCTGTAATTCTGTCTCTGCATTTGTCTTTCCCCAAAGCTTCTGATACTCTAGCATGAAAATGCCCTCCCGCAATCATCTTCTGAAGCATGGTAAAAAGTAAAATTGGAATTACCGTTTCCTTTATGTTTGGTTCTTTTGCTTGAACATCCGAATAATCTTGATAAAGCTGTTTTAAATTAGATAAGAAATATGCTGCATTCCTAAGGGAAGACTTTCTCTCTTTAAGTTCATCATATTTTGTTTGTAGTTGTTTCAGCTGTGGCTCTAACCTAAAACAAAAATAAGTGACATATAATAAAATGTACCAGCCTATCGTGTGTGAAACTGAGGTTGTAAGTACACTGAGCGAGTGTGAAGAACTGGGGTTGGCCAACTAGATGATTTGCTTTGGCTCTGAAACTATGAATGTGTAAAAGATTCTGGGTTTCAGTTTAAAATGTAGGAAAAAAAAAAATCTCTGAAATACAATGCACAATGAATAATTAGCAGTGACATTCACAGAAGAATATTCCTTATAAATGTTGAAATTCATCAAGCCATTCAAGTCTTCAGAACTACTGGATCAAACGTATGTTTGGCTAACATTCAGAGGCTCGTGCCGGAGGAGCCAGGCACTACAGTCTAACACAGAAACCACGGACAAAAAGCTTTCCCAGTGCTCCTTCCTCTTATCAAATCTTGTCCACTTTCCAAAGTCTAATAAAACCAGTGGAAGACGTTCAGTGCCTGGATGAAAACATGTGACCTTGGGCAAACTGTTTCATCTCAATGGCTGAGTTTCTTCACCTATAAAATAAAAAGGTATAACTTGGGTTTTATGGACCAACAAAAAAAATGAGGGGCAAAGGCAGCAAATTTTGTATTTTGCCAAATAAAGATTTAAAACACAACTATTCTCTAATATAATTTCACAAAAACGTCTTTTTTTTTTTTTTTTTGAGACGGAGTCTTGCTCTGTCACCCAGGCTGGAGTGCAGGGGCATGATCTCAGCTGCACTGAACCTCCCTGTGCGCCTCCGTGGGGTTCAAAGCGATTCCCTGCCTCAGCCTCCCGAATAGCTGGGATTACAGGCGCCCACTACCACGCCCGGCTAATTTTTGTATTTTTAGTAGAGATGGGGTTTCAACATGTTGGCCAGGCTGGTCTCAAAACTCCTGACCTCACTGATCCACCCGCCTCAGCCTCCCAAAGTGCTGGGATTACCGGCATGAGTCACGAAAAGTCTTCCTTAACAATTCTTTACATTGAACAAATGCAGCGCTGGGGAAAACTCACTACTGAGCTGGCAGTCGTGGTCAGGAGTGCTGAATTTGGAGTCAGTCAGCTGACAGTGAATCCTGGCTCCCCCACTACCTAGGGCTGCGCCTCTGGGCAAGTTACCTCCCTGTGCCTTAAGTTTTCATATGGCAAGTTAAAATAATGATATACCATAGTTTTTCTTATTACACCTTTTCAAAATACACTTCTCAACTTCTAAATTTATATCTAGAAAAGAAACAAAAGCCTGTGCTTTAGGTTTTCATATAGCAGGTTAAAATAATGATATACCATAGTTTTTCTTACTATGCCTTTTCAAAATATACTTCTCAACTTCTAAATTTATATCTGGAAAAGAAACAAGTCAGTCTTTAAAACATGTCTCAGGCCGGGTGCGGTGGCAAACATCTGTAATCCCAGCACTTCAGGAGGCCGAGGCGGGCGGATCACGAGGTCAGGAGATCCAGACCATCCTGGCTAACACAGTGAAACCCCATCTCTACTAAAAATACAAAAAAAATTTAGCCGGGTGTGGTGGCAGGCGCCTGTAGTCCCAGCTACTTGAGAGGCTGAAGCAGGAGAATGGTATGAACCTGGGAGGCGGAGCTTGCGGTGAGCCCGAGATAGCGCCACTGAACTCCAGCCTGGGCGAGAGTGAGACTCTGGATCAAAAAAAAAAAACACAAAAAAACACAAAAACTCATCTCAGTAGTCTCACACTGAAGACAAGTGTAACCAGGCACGGCCTGACTATAGCTATAACCACTTGTCTCATAGGACTGTGATGATGAGTTAGCATAGAAAGCATTTAGGAAAGTGCCCTGCCACAGAGGAAGCTTGTAAA